GTCCAAGCTCATATCTACTCTGTATGATGATGATGATGATGATGATGATGATGATGATGGATGCGTATGGCAGTTGTCTAACGGACGGGGTTCGGAATCTACTTTCTCTGTGATAGAACTGGGAAGCAAAGTGATCGAGGATGCCCCGTCATGAGCCCGGCAATCGGTTTCCTCGTTCAGGCAACGTATCTGGCGTTTCCATCTCGGCCGAGATAGGAGGAGGGACACTCGTTTCGTGATCCTACCTATGATATGAGGTCCTCAATTGCAAAGTGGAGAGAGGCAAAAGAGTCTTTGCCAAGGTATCTCCACAGCTGAGGCTTGATGTCAAGCTCCAAGCCGGGCACTCTTGGCTTTCCTTCCCCTCATCTTATCTTACGCATGACCTTGGGCAGAGAGACGGCGTCCGTCTCGCTTTCTTCAGCGTCGATTCGTCTTGACGCTATCGCCAGAAAAGGCAATGACATTCAGCCCGAACAAGGGAAAGCAGTCCTAAGATCTTCACTCTTACACACACCCGCACGATCCGGACCCATTTTCTCTCTTGACGTATCTGCATCTACCTTTTCTCGAGACCCTTCAACCGCCCCTTAGACTGCCTATGCCACTACTCAAGAAGTGGGATGGCTGGATAGTCGAGGAACGGATTTACACTTTCTGCGACATCAACGGCGTTGCGCTTCTCCTTCTCGTGTCTGTCTCGGTTCCCCACACGCACCTGAGTTTGACAGGTACCAGTCGACCTCTCCGCTTCGGGTAAAGGCTTGTCTCAGCTTGAATGGACACAATTCGAGGGCGCCAACCCATTTTTGTGCTGTGGGCTCGTACGTAAACGAAAACTCAGGTGATAACACCGCCGTGGCTGCGGCTTCTGGTCCCTTGGCAGCGACGAAACGAGGCCAGGAGTAGTAAATAGTGGGCGAGTTTCTCCGGGGCGGCTATCGGGTATGTTCCTCTCAGGGTCGCCAAGGGCCAAGTCGAGGAATGCCTGCCCAAACTTGGGCTGGACTGGGATGCTTGCGGGGGGATGGTGCAAAGCGATCGCTTGCCGGTTGGTATGCTTTCTTGGGCTTGGTGATGACTGTGACACTCGCTTTAGTTGAAGTGATTTGCTGCTGCCACTGAGCTGGGGGAACAAAGGCATGCCTGAGAACCAAACAGGAAGAATGACGGGCGGCATTGTTGGAATTTCGCGGAGAACTTTCCGCATTCCAGGAGCAGCTGTGTAGGTAGTGTGTGGCTTACTTCGGGTAGGCAATCAACCAGGTCAAGCCTCGGCCCTTGCCTCCAGACAGGCACAGGAATGTTGGGAAACTCGATGTGATTGGGATGCCCAGGCAAGCGGAGCACAGCTCCTCTCGTTCCTAAAGAAAGCCCGGTTTTGTCACATCTCACAATTTTCCCTGACAAGCGCACATAGCAAAAGGCTTTCGTACCTCACTTGTACCTGGATATCGTGATGAAAAACGAGACACGTATCCTACCCAATGTAACATGGGGCTCTTTGAACGTACACTCAAATGTAGTCAAGTCTTATGGGTCTTTTATGAGTGCCGTAAATGATTAAGAATGTCGAAGAATGACGTCTGGATTCCAAAGGTCTAAGCCGTCGGTCTGGGCAAAGTTCAAACTCGCACATCCTCCTCCTCCCCAAACCCAATAGGGTAAACGGCTCTCCGGTCTCCTTTGTGTGTCGTCTGCTTTCTAGGCCTTTTTACGCCTTGCCCACATCATCCCTCTGGGTGGCAATTCCACATGCAACCGGTGTTGTGAAGGCTACGGTGTGTAACTCGGGATGGACAGCCTTGTACGTGATGTTCGTAAGAGTTTGTAGATTGCCAAAACAGTATGACGGATTGTGGCGCCCAGAAGCTTATCCCGCTAGCACGAGGACAGCTTCAAAAAATCATGCCACTTTCTCGCGGCAGGGTGCCTCCCCTATCCACCGGCACGCAGCCGATAGGGCGGGGGTGCGGCACTCTGTGTTCCTCTAGGTAGGCGGCCTGTGAGGTTACCGGTTTCCTCTTAAGGCTCTACCTATTCCCCTCTCTCTTTCTCGTTTTCTATCCACAGACAGCGAGGGTGAGCTCCATCAAAAGTGTACATTGTGGAGTGCGAGTGGGTATGAAGGAAGATCCTCTCTGCAGGCAGGGACAGGCAACTCGGCAACTGTGCATGTACATCGCAGGATATACAGTGCCCTCTTCCCTAACGCCCTCTTTCCTAAAAGGGCTTGACTCGGCGCACAGACGCAGGTACGGCAGGCAGGGAGGGAGAAAACGCCCTGGTAGCGGTGAGATCGACGATCGTGAGGATCGGGGTAGCCGTGACTGGTGGATGTTACAGCCTTGCCTCTCCTAGTTCTCGCCCGGTTTGAGCTTCTAAGCGAAGGATGCACACCCTCATTCGTTCCTCCGTTTGCAGGGTCTGGCCTCGCGCAGGGTCTGGCCTCAGGATCCCGGCCCCCCTTGTCTCGTTCGTAGTCCGGCCGGAAATAGATAAGCCAGGCCAAGAGGGTTCCATACCCGTAAACACACGTGCCTAAATCAGTAATTCCCCATCCTCTGGAGAACCTCTCTAGCCAGATGTAGGGTCAGTGACCAGTGGAGGCTGACGAGAACAAGCCCAAGATGGGTTCTCGCCTAGGCCATGAATAGGTACAAGGGGACCGAAGAATCTTGAACTGACCATTCTCGGCGATGGGCTTTTTCGAATGTCTCGGCTACCCCGTCCGAGGCCCGAGCTGTCACTACTTTAAATGGGAGTTTCTTGATAAGCCATGCCGGATGACACGGTAAGTAGGGAAGTCCGCTCTTATTCCTAGGTCGGCGACTCCCTGGGAAGCCAAGACTGAAAATGAGGCCATCAAGAATCACTTAGCCCTGCCTTGATAACCTATTGTGGTTTAGGAAAATGCAACGTGAATGTTTCATGGGAGCTGAACCCATCTTAACTCGGTCTACTTCGGTCAGCGCATGCTGCCTGTCGACCTTTCGTAGACGGCGAGAATACGAGAAAACTCTGTACAAGTTCTGCGAAGGATGGCGGGACGTTCCTCAACGGAGGATAGTGTTGGTGTTAAAGACGCATAACTTCATGCATGTTGCTTCAGTTCGCTAACCATTCCGCTCAAGGAATGGTTATCCTCATGCAAAAGTCCGGTGATCTGATACTGCCAGTGAGTGATTCCAATACTGCTGGTGTGGAGATTGCCCAGTTGGCTTTGTTGTAAGATTTGTCAGCGAGGAATCGCAATACCACCTCTTTCTATTAGTCCGCTCAACCGTGACAATTTCGGAAAATCGAGGTTCCCTGCCCTACCGGCTCCCTGTTTCTATTAGTTAAAAACAGAAGGGTTCCAATTGAAAGATTTGTGATTAATATACTCAGGATATGTTAGAATCCAAATGTGAATAACAAGTTTGAAATAACTTTAGCTTACTTTTGTTCCATAATTCTCTTGGCTCTTGTAGAGTTGCTGTGATATCGGTATCGCTCAAGTGAGCCCGCTCAATCAATACATCGCATTAATTGACAGAAATTGGTGTATGTAATGCTCATACACAGATTCACTATATTCTCTTGAACCTGAGAGATTCACGTATCCTGATTCAGACAACACTGTTGAATAACAGCTAGGGTCTGGGAAAGCACTCATGTGTGCTGGCAACACACATTTCTGAATGCAAATAGGGCATTATCACTGGAACTTCTTCCAAATGAATGAACTAGAAGTGAAGAGACACCAAGAGCCTTGCCATCTATTACCAGCTAGTTAACCTACAGCCTTATACTTGTATTTACTCTGGGGCTCCAGTTAGTAAGGCTGGGAAAGAAGCTCACCTTAAGTCAACCGGGGAGTTAGAATGTTTACACTTCATCCTTTCTGCTAGACTGAGCAACTCCTATTGGGCGCTGATTATATTATAATGGTGCCTTTCTGGACGTCAATGAATCTCTCACAGTTCCTGGTCAGGCTGGTAGGACATTTTGGGACACTTACGTTGCCTTCCCTTGACCTACAGTCACCTGATAGAGTTACTTATGACCCATTATAGTACTGTAGTACAAGCGAGTGTTCTGGGGCAACAGCATCATGATCTGCAAGATATTTCTCCCGCAACTGACTGGAGCACTAAGACCGCAATCTGTCTGACAAAGTTTTCAAGCGGCTGCACCATGACCTTTAGAATTACAGGTGTCATTGCTGGTTGTATCTTTTATTCTCGGTCAACTTCGCTGATTGCACTTCTAAGACTCGAAGAGCGCAGTATTCAAGCCTTAGTTAGCCAGCCTCTCAGCTATATGGCAGTTTTGGTAGATACTACGCCAAAACTCTCGATAAGAGCCTGCATGGGATTTCGAGGATGGTCGATGATGCCTTCTTCCAGCTAAAGACCAACGAGCTGGCTTGAACGAAGACCATTCCCTGAATACTGATTCACCATTGCAGTTATCCAGTGATTCCAGGACCCAGGCAAAAAATTGATCACGTTGCTACCTTGGCGTTGATGTGATAGGATATTCTGCAGGTTGTGTTTAGAGATAGTGCGGAACTGTCTGACACTGCCGAGCCGCGAAGCCCTCCACCATATGTTAGTTGTCTCTCACGAAAGCATATTCTTCAGGAGAGGTGTCGGCTGCATTCAAACATCCTGTTCGGTCCTGCTGCGTTGGTGTTGGGCGGGTGTGATAATCAAGGTACCGCTGGTCGTCAACCATGCGCTCCACTAGTTATCATCCCTGTATCCTCCGGTACCACCTCTTTCCTCCAGTGCCTTCATGTGTTCTACGATTGGCGCAATTTCAGGCATCAAGCGCAACCTTGAAGCTTGGCTTCGCGCGGTCTGACTGCCTTGAATGCAGTGGCTCTAAGGCAGCGTAGGTGCCTAAGGCGTTAGGCTCCAAGATCAGATGCGAAAATATTACGCAGCAATTTCTCTCGTGTCTTCCTCTCTACTTATTTTCTTTTCACTTAACTGTGAGATCCTACCTTCGCAATGGATACGCCTTGTTCCATATGCCATGACTTTTGCGGTATCGGCGACTTTTGGGATCCCGCCACGGAAATACGACAAGCGACTCGTAATCATATTAGGCTTGGTCTCGCCTGGAGTGACCTCACAACATCAGCTGAGTCCTGTGCAAACTGCGAGATTCTGGTAGAAGGCTGCAAAGGCTGCTTTCGGCAGCATGCCATCTCACAAGACCAGATCCTACACTGTCACCTCTCTTTCTACTACCAGATTCAAGATCAGGATGACGACAATTACCTCGAAGACGTAGATAAAGAACTATTTTTCCGTCTGAAGGACGGGTCTTGGTTCACTGTACAGATATTCTACAACGCAGAGGGTAGGTAAAGGTATCTTCAGAATGAGTCGAACTCGCTAATGGACTAGAACAGAAGAGGATCCGCTGCTAGACAATTGGGAGTCATTCCCCGGCCTGTTTCGGACGTCACCTGGAACTGGCTCTGATGAAGCTTTCGAGACCGCCAAGGAATGGATCGAAACATGCGAAAGCAAGACCCACAGGCATTGCCGGTCACCAAAATGCCCAATCTTGCCGAAAAGGGTTGTAGATGTTGGGCTCCAAGACGGCCTAGTTCGATTGGTTGAGCCCGAGGGTGCTACAGGAAAATACTTTTGCTTGAGTCACTGTTGGGGTCCGAGCCAAATCACAACTACAACAACGGCCAATATAAAGAAGCATTTGCGCGATATACCCTTGGACTCTTTACCCAAGACATTTCAGGATGCAATCCTGTTGACTAGGCGCTTTGGAATCGGGTATATCTGGATCGACTCGCTTTGCATTGTACAAGACGACAAGAATGATTGGAAGATTGAGTCTTCTAAAATGGCAACTATATACCAGAACGCCCATCTTACAATTGCCGCAACCCTTTCGAGCAGCGGAGCTGGAGGACTTTACACGACTACACCGGAGTTTGAAGTGTCGGGAACCTCCCCGGCCGGCCAAGCGTACTCACTTTACTTTCGACAAAAGATCGACCATCATTCAGATAACGCTGGTGGTGTTACCGGGGGGCAAAATAACCAGGCTGCTCTGAACCTGGGCAATGTGGACGATCGCCAGCCTATAGGCCATCCAACTATCACTTATCACCCATTACTTACCCGTGCCTGGGTGTTTCAGGAGAGAATGTTATCGACGAGAGTGCTCCACTTCGGTCCATATGAGCTCTTCTTTGAATGTCGCACGGAGAGTGAATGCGAATGCGGCGGGATTCAAACTTGGGGCTCCTCATACGGCATCCCTGCTTCCTCAACAAAGTTAGCATACAGTGATGCTCTATCAAATCACAGATTGCGCCAAAGGATCTACACAACCGAGCGCGAAATGGCTTGGATCTCACGGATTTGGAGAACCCTGGTGTCTTCATATAACTCGCTGAACATAACAATGCCGCTGGATCGTTTGCCGGCTATTGGCGGCCTAGCCAGGAGCATGGCATCGACAAAGGCATCGCCATACCGCGCTGGGCTGTGGGAAAGCTCGATGAATGATGATCTGTTGTGGGCTGTCGAAAACTCAGCCGGGCTCAAGCCACGACCGTGTCCCCGGAGTGCACCAACATGGTCATGGGCCAGTGTTAACACCCCTTCGTGGTATTTCGATGAGATCATAGTATGGGATCCGTACATTGAGATCATCGAGAGTGAGAGCACGTACAAGGGAAAACAACCGAATCATCTAGTCGAAGTGGTGAGCTCTGAGGTTGTTCCAGATGGACCCGATGAGTTCGGTTTGATATCTCAGGGGAGCCTGAAGCTTTCTGGGGCGGTGGCTCAGGGTACGCTGGAGCGAGATGTTCAAGTATCTGGCATGGAGCGCAATTTCGTTTACTATGTGTCACTGCCCGGACTCCGCATGCCAATGAAACCAGACTATCTCTTCGATCATGAAGGGCCTGATCAGGTTGTACCTGGCACAAAGGTCCTCTGTATGCGAATGAGCGCTGTTATCGAGGGATCTAGGGAGGTGTTGTTTTCGCTCGTCTTGAGGTCTTTGGCTGAGCCCGATACTTTCGAACGAGTCGGGACGCTGTTTATAGAAGCCAGACCTCCACCTGTGGATGTGGACGGAGGCATCTATGACTCCGCAGGCGTGCGCACTGTGGTCATTCGGTAACCTTGAGGTATGAAACAAAGAGGATACTTTAACACAATCTAGAGAGCTGCTAGACATGAATACCACCTCCCGGACACATTGTGTGGTAATCCACTTTCCACAAGCCACCCTTGATCTCCTACAGATGGCTATCATGTCGCACTACATCTTCGGAACCCAACTTGGCATGGTAATCGAAGGAGCATCTCATCATCCCTTTACAGGCATTGCGAGTACCAGTCGTTTCCATACTGGCACGTATAAGGGCTCGCGCAGGTTGTGCACCCGGTGTATCCGTTCCCGCCGCACTGAGCCCAGTGCGCAGCCGTGCATCCTCCGCCGCCGCCACCGCCACCGCCAGGCTGTGTACTCTGCGAGGGAGGCGCGCTCGTCGTCGTGGGCGTGCTGCCACCGCCGCCACCGCCTCCTCCAGAGCCCCACGCCGACAGGATGGCGTTGTAAGCAGGCTTCTTCTGCAGGTTCTTGTCCCAGATGAGCGGCGCCGAGTCGCTGATCCACGTGTACCTGTCCGTGAAGCCCCAGGTCGTGATGCCGACGCAGGCGTCGACCTGCTTGCACGCCGACACCACGGTCGCGAAGTCGGTCGCCTGCTGCTGCAGGTTGGGCGACGACGCCGGGGTGCGCATGTCGAGCTCCGTGTAGGCGACCTCGACGCCCAGGGCGGTGAACTGCTGCAGGTTCTGCACGAGGGTGCTGGCACCGCCGACCTGGCCCACGGTGAAGTGGCCCTGGATGCCGACGCCGTGGATCGGCGACCCGGCCTGCTTTACCATCTTGACGAGGTTGACGGCGCCCGTGGACTTGGCGCCGGGCTTCTCGATGTTGTAGTCGTTGTAGTAGAGCTTGGCGCCCGGGTCGGCCTTGGCCGCGGCCGCAAAGGCGAGCGGGATGAAGGTCTGCGCGCCGATGGTGCGGCCCCATACCGAGTCCGAGGTCCGGTACGAGCCGTCCTCGTTGAGCGCCTCGTTGACGACGTCCCAGGCGTAGCACTTGCCCTTGAAGTGGCCCACCACGTTGGCGATGTGGTTCTCCATGATCGAGATCAGGGTGTTCTTGTCGAAGTTGCCGTTGCTGACCCACCCGGGCACCTGCTGGTGCCAGACGAGGGCGTGGCAGCGCATGATCATACCGTGGGAGTCAGCCTGGGCGACGATGCGGTCGGCGGCGCCATAGGAGAATGTGTTGCGCTGAGGCTCGGTGGCGTCGAACTTCATCTCGTTCTCCGGGGTGTACTGCCCAAAGTCGTCCGGGTTGGAGGCGATGGCGTTGGCGGAGGCGTCATTCTGAACCGTGGCGGAGAGCTCGGTGCCGAAATACTTCTTGCCGGCGGCCTTGGCGCGGACGTTGAGGCCGTCAGCTGAGACAAAGGGGGACAATGCCCCGAGGAGAAGAAGGGCGGCAGCGGACTTCATGTTGAGTGAGATCAGGCCCAGGAGAGCGCTTGGAAGGTGAAGTTGAGGGTCGATGCAACCAGCAACACATCCGGATCTGCTGATCTTTTATAAATCATTTTACAGCCAGGTGCCTAGTGAAAATGCGCTATCACTCTTTCTCGCGGACGTGAAAGCACCGCGCATTGCCTTCATTTCGCAAGAAGGATCCCGCCGATCCGAGTGGCGCGTCCGAAGTAGACAGACTCCGAGGTGATGCCATGGGGCTAGCGCAGCGGTCAAACAAACGATTGCGTGCGTCTCTTGGCCAGTGGAAGAGGCCCTGGCACCTCGGGATGTAAACCGACTGGAGCGCAAGTTGGTTGGTGAAAGCTGTGTGGCCATGACATTTGTGTCGCAAGGGCAGTTTGTTGTGTCAGATAGCATCAAATGACATTAGGGGGGCGAGCTGGGCGATATTATTCCACCTATTGGTCTTATTCAGAGTTGATGACACAGGAATACTTACTGGGAAAGCCCTGGTTCCGTCGACCCGGCTCCGAAGTTGACCTTTCTACTTCCGGCACGGAGGCTGTGATGCAACGCGCCGTCGCGTGGTATCGGCCCATCCAGAGCTTGACATGGGTACCGCTGCTGCAGCTCAGTCGCAGCTTGAACGCCGTTTACCGGGCTGTGATCGTCCAAAGGCTTATGTGTAGAAATTGCATGGGACCCGGGACCCGGGTGAACGTGGCAACTACCGGACTGGCTATCATAAAACATTTTCCAGACAAGCCGCGCACAAAGGCCCTGTTGATATGCCAAGACGGCATGTGGAACAATCCATCTGCGTCATGAATCAGACGAGGTATTCAGATGCAAGGCATGCGGACATGTTAGAATCAGGAGAGATAGGAGACGAATTCACAGATATCCCTCCACGGAACATCAACATAGAGGACCAGAAGTAAAACTTCAAGTCTCACGAACAGGCCATTCTGATTTGTTCAAGGCATGCTTTCATCTCGGTTAAATGGCTTGGAAAACAAGACCAGGGGTGGCAGTGTCGCACCAGTATTTAGCCAGGGTACCAGTCTGTTGCAACACCCCGCTCTCGAGGTAGAGATTTTTGGATTCTATTTTCGACACCCTTATATGGACGGCAGCAGCAAAGCTTGTATTGCTCCTTTACCGCTCTCGAACTTTGGTCGATGCGACCCTATATATTCGAAAGTCCGGCATCCGCCCGACCACAACCAGGAAATTGTGAAGGAAACGCTTCAGCCGCTTACCAATTCCGCTGCACGGAAGTATAGAGCCCGATGTTGGCGTGTGCGGCCCCGATTCCCGAGATGCGCGAGATGATGTTGGATACTCGATGCTCTCCTTCTGGGCAGGAATATCCACCGATAGGTATCCGGTGACGGAGGGCATTGAAGTGCCTTTCACAGAGATACCTGTATGTCCAATAGACAGTCGCGGTACTGGGGCAACTCCTTGATAATATACGCTGCTTCACTTCCATTATCGTAAAGAAACACAGAGGGGCTCAAAATAAGACTATAAACATGCAGCACTGATTAAGGTTTCCTGCATAAATCGATTGTCCCCAGTACCAGGTTTTCCAGGCCCAGGATTGGGTCTGATCTATTTAGCCTGAGACAGGTGTTCCGTCGAGGCAGACAAAGGAATCGACAAGGTGCAGCCTCTAGCCAGGTTGCAATTGATATGATGCTTGACATATGTGAGACCTCTGGGTTGTGCGATCCAGCCGCTTAGTATATATAAGGGGTACAGACATCACAACGAGAGGGGACCCAGCCGCCGAAGGAAGTGATACAATGTTCACAAACACTTCAGCCTCAGCCCTACTGGGATTGACTGCTTCCGAGGTAGCTGAACGAAGCCACTGGGGCCAGTGCGGTGGCAAAGGATGACTAGGCGACTTGTGTCTCTGTGAAAGTAAGCCAATTGGTTGGCCATAGTACATTGTACAACGTATTCACTAAGGTTCAACAACTTTGGTCAACTCTGTTCCCCCCACTTCGACCAAATAACCTTCTAGAGGTAGGGGCTGCTCTTACGAAAGTCCCAGTAGGTCTCGGAGCGGCCAGATACAGACCCCTAGGCGCCTTCACTATCACTGAAGGCAACATAACAACTCCCACAAAGATGTACCGTGTGATGGAGAGAAGAACACATTTGGACAAACAGCCAGGTTAGCAGACAAAAGCACTGCCAATTACCGAGCGTGCATCATGCAGAGCTGATCATAGTCATTAGCACATTCCTACTGCTTCTTAGGACGAATATAGAAAAGACATTTTCAGTGCGGATGAGCAGCACAACAAATCAAAGAATGAGTCGTGGTCGCCATGGCCATGGGCGGTGGCAATGCTGTCATAGGATGATAGAATGGTATATGATGCACAAAAAGACAATTGTCTTGTGTGAGGAGCTATATACAGTATGCAAGTTATGTGCATGGGTATGCAAAGCGAATGATATGTACAAGACGTTGTAAGCAAAACGACAACGGAGCAAAACGAGCGACTCAAAGGGACCAATAAACTCCAATCCCGCGTAACGTCGTGACGATTCATGAATAACAACGACGCACGCGCCATATTAACATTCCATCCAGCGAAGATCCAAATGCTTCGAACACAGAATATGTGTCAAGTATATACATCAAAGTAGAGCCATCGCTAGGCCCAGACGCCTAGTTTGAGCGGTAGGTGGCCACGTACGCAACCTCCATCATCGATCCGTAACCATCCAGGGTGTTGCTATCGGGGTTGCCGGGCTGAGGAGAAATATATGTGTTAGCTAAGCACTCAAATACACATGGGTTGTAAACAATCGAACATACCCAGTTGCCGCCAACAGCAACGTTGAGAATGAAGAACAGGGGCGAGTGAGCCAGCGCGTTCCAAGCAGCCTGGTTGTTAACCCGCGAGCCCGTAACCTGGAAGTACTGGTTGTTGTCCAGAAACCAGGTGATGCTCTCGCTCTGCCAGTTGTTGGACCTGCGGTCGATCATGACGCGCCACGTGTGCCACCCCTGGTCCGCGACGCCCGTGTTGCCGCCGATGCCGTTGTTCTCGTTGCACGGCCCGCCGGGGCTGGTCCCGCAGTGCACAGTGCCGTAGCCCGTCAGCGCGCCGTTGACCATCTCGAGGATGTCGACCTCGCCGCAGGCGGGCCACCCCGTGCCGTGGCGGATCGAGTCGCCGAGCATCCAGAAGGCGGGCCACATGCCCTTCTTGCGATTGGTCGGGTTGTCGCCGAAACGGATCTGCGCCTCGGCCATGGTGATGCGCCCGGCGTCCGGCGTGAAGGTGTACTTGCTCTCGATACGGGCCGAGGTCCAGCCCTGGGTCGGGTTGGAGCTGTCGTGCCAGGGGACGAGCTGCACCGTGCTGCCGCCCGACAGCTGCAGGTTCCGGCTCGAGGTCGTGTACTCCTGCAGCTCGTTGTTGACGTGCAAGCCCGTGATGTAGTTCCAGGTGCCCGTGTCGGGCTGGGAGCCGCCGGCACCATTGAAAGGGTCCTGCCAGAGAAGGGTGTAGCCCGAGTAGTTTGGGGCAGACCATGCCGCCGCCAGGGACGGGAGGAAGAAGAGAAGGGAGCGTAGTGCATGCATCGTGATAATAATATGTTCACCACAAGTAGAAGTTCAGAAAGTATGTACACAGCAGTAAGTAGTCAAGCGTGAAAAGGAATGATATCGGGTCGGAATTGGTTTCCAAAAAGACAAGGAGCGTGTATTGAAGGATAGAAAGTAGCACTAATGGCTATAGAGAAGAGAACGGAATGGTGATAGTGGTGAAGAACAACAAGAGAAACATCGAAACATCATGGACGAGGACCTGTGCAATATATAATAAGGGGTTCAACGATGTCCTGGCCACGCGGTGTTCCAGACAAGATAGGTCGACGAGGGGAAATGACCTAGACCACGCCCAGTCCCAGAGGTGAGGTCTGAGCTTTTGATTGGGCATGGCGCAGGGGAACGAAACATTATACCTAGAATACTACCATCCAAGGCGGCACTAGTGCCCGTGGTGAGGCAATGTGCCCGCTGTCTTGGCGCTGGGCGTGTCTGCTGGTGCGTATGGCAGAAAGACCATGTGCTCTATGCTTAGTTAGATCCCGCAGCATTGTCTCTGATGTAGGCACAGATTCCCCGGAAGGATCGAGGGTCAGAATAGATCTGAGATCCTGACAAGTGACACAAACATCTCTCAACGCCACGCGCGCGTGCACTCAAGCATGGCGAAGACGTTCTGTCGAAGCAATGAACTTAGCCATGTTAGGTCAGAGAAGTAGATGAGAATGTCTGCCGAATCTCCCGGATCTCCAGAGCCCTTGTAGGACAGGAATCGATCGCAGGCTGTACGGGGGAGCTTTGCTGGGGCCGGAGGATTTTCACAGTGATGATCTTTGATGATCTCCCGTTACCCAATCCGTGCTGGAGATCCGCTCGGGGCCTTTGATTGCAGGGTCGTCTGCCAATCCCAGAGACATGTATGGACTGTGGAGATGGAGGACCCACGTGTGGCTAATTAGGTATCTGTTACTGGCATGTGCTAGTTCCATGCGAGTCAACGTTGCTCGACGATAGCCGGGAATGACTGCTGGGAGTGCAGCCGTTGATAACTCGCACAAGGCCGCATCTAGAGTCGCAATGGTGGTGATCAACTGCCTCCACCACATGGGACGACGACGACACCTCAAGAATGCTCGGATGAACACTGAGTAGCAGGGACGTTCGTCCCAAGCAGCAGCAGGAGCAGTTCAGGGGCAAGAAATGTCATGGAGCACCCCAGATCGGAGGTTTGGGCCACGTCCGGGCAGGGGAGGCCTGCCGGCGCTAGAGTTTCTTCGACCCCTGGCTTGTATGGGGATGAAGCCCAATCAGGGGGGCATACCCGAGATCGCGTGGAGCATCTGCATTTAAATAGGTCGACTAAAACGTGGTCTTCTCCCATTGAGGCAAAGCAGTCGGCGCCAGCAGCTTTTCAGCTCTACTCTCAATGCGCCGCCGTCGCAAGAGAGAGCAGCTGTGTTCAAAATCTGTGATGCTTTGTGCTTGACGTGCTGGAAGTTCTTACGCCTCGCCTCATCTCATATCATCATCGGCGGCTGGCAGCGCATTCCGCCTCATAGACCAACAGCGCACATGACAACCCGTGCCCGCCATGTGATGAAAGAGGCGTTCTGCAGGGTCTAAGCTCTACAGCGCGCGGTCTAATTTGCCCCGGGTGGGTGGTATCGGCCATCCAAGAGCCTGCGCCGGCTGCTGGGACCTTGTGACCCCGCCTCCCAGCACGGAAGAGTTGCACCGGACATAAGCCACGCATCTGCACCACCTACGGAATCCGTCTGACATGGACCGTTATCGAATGAGCCTTGCTGCTGCCGTGCGTGTGCTCTGTGAGCACAAAGACGGACCCGTGGGAGCGGAATGCAACCCGCTCTTAGCCGCCGTCGTGTTGTTGCTGCGACCTGCACAGTCAGCACCACGAGTCAGCAGTAAGCAGGATGATAAGCTTAAAAGCCTGAGCCTAGGGCTTGACAGTCACATGGATCTCCTCTCATCCATCACCCGCCCGGCTGGGGTAAACGCCCGCGGGGTTCGTGCCACCGGAATAGTGTTACCTTCCCGGGACGGGACTGGACCCTTGATCGTCTGCTCGTTCCGTCCTGGTCTCGGGATGATCTCGGCGTCGTCGACACTAGCCGCGATGGCACTGTGACGTCGCTGGCGTTAGCTCGTTGTGTAGATAGGGGTCAATCTTGGCTAGCAGGGTCAATCAAAATGAAACTCTACCGGATGTATTCTGCGAGGATCTAGAGATTCTGTATACACTACTTTCCCGCTCGCGGCCCGAATCGTTACACCAAGGATCACGCAAGGATGATGTCTTTCTCTGCCGTTTCCACTCCGACCCATTTGCCAGCAACAACGGTAGCTAAACCTTGCCTGGTGTACGCATTTCCAGACTTGACTATTAGCATAATGTTGTGGCTGTAGACATGCTCGCAGTCCTTGACGTGCTGGATGTCACCAGACTCTGGGCCTTCTTTGATCACCCCGCAAGAAGAGGAGGTCTCCTTGTGGGCGTTGGAGGACAGCAAGACAAATTCGACGGTGGTCTCGCTATGCTGCCCAACCAGTGACTCGAGCACTTTGATGCGGCCCATTTCTGGCCCATTTGCGTTGTGTATCGTGACTTCAAGCATCTTGGGCTCACCCTCCTCGTCGCCATGCGTGTTGTCATTTCCTTTGTCCTCAGGCGGGTCCAAGGCCTTGCCCTCCTCATCCACCTTGATCTGTGCATCATCAACTCGGAGCACGAGTTCCGCAGTTTTCGCAGTGAAGTGCAACAACCCATAGTCCATGACAAATGACCCCATACCCTCCCCCGAAGTAAAGGTGGTATCAAGTTGACTATCAAGGCCTGGTATCGCGTTCAAGTGTCTGGAGCTTTCCCCCATGTCATCCCAGCCGAATCTCTCATCCGCTCCAACCTTGATGGTGTCATGCCAGGTGACCTGCGACACAATCACCTCTCCACATATCGTGGGGAACGTGACGGCATCCCTCGGCGACAGCCAAGACCAGGTGGGGAAGTCGAGGTCGCGGACCTCGCCGTCCAGCATCACCCGGTGCTTGGCCCTGCGGAAGTGCGCGTGCCCGCAGTCGTACACCTTGGGGTGCCAGAGCAGCGACACGTCGAGCGCCTCGTACGGGTGGCCCCAGACGAAGCCCCGCGGGTACATGGACACCTGCAGGCCCATGACGCCCATGAACGCCCACAGCGTGTCGCTCTCCTCCTTGAACCGCCGCGCGCAGAACCGCTGCACCATGTCGAGGTACCTGGACGAGCGGCAGAATGACGTGCCGTGCAGGGGCAGGCTGCCCACCCTGCCGTCACAGTTGCCGTGGATGCCCCAGAGCGAGTTTGTAAAGTTGGGCTGCAAGGACACCGTGGGTATCTCGAAGACGAGGTCCTCGCGCCACGAGGCGCTGTGGCAGGACCAGTAGACGAGCCGTGGTGTGAAGACGATGCAGCGCCTGGAGAGCATGGCCTCCTGGAAGGTCCAGCCCCGGGTGTTCCAGGAGGACTTGCTGAGGATCCGGTTCATGCTCGGGTGCACTGTAATGAATTCTTTGCCGTCTACGACCCCGGCTTGTTGCCATTGTTCTCGAGATGTCTCACCAATGCCAGGAAGTCCACTCTCTGCGTCTGTGCCGGCGGCGGCGACTACCACGAGATTCACCGAGCCGTAGATGCTACTCATGAGTGGCAGCTGGCTGTTCTTATCCTGGGCATCATCTTGCACGATGCAGAGTGAATCAACCCAGAGGTATCTGAGACCGATGTCCTTGACAAATTGCATCGCATCTTCAATGGTTTGAGGGATGCTGGCCTGATCGAGTCCATTGAGCTCGGAATACTGGGTGAGTGTGGCTCGGGTGAGCAAGGGCGCTGTCTCTTCACCCCAGACATAAGACAGAGCGACGTATTGGTGAGATGTGCTGGCAGTCACCACACGCTTCTCTTGTACGTCGATGGCACGAATTGTGTGCTGGGACGAGCCAGACGAATGTATTCGACAGTCTGCGTGCGCTGTGGTACATATTGCCAGCCACTCCTTGACCCGATCGATGTTCACCTTCTCCGCCGTCCTCCGCCCACTACCTTGCGTTCTGTAGCTATCATCGTCATCCAGGTTTTCCTTATCGTACGGGATCGGGTCCTCGACCATTTGTCGCTCCGACAGCGCAATGACGCCAGCGGTCGCACCGGGAGCGTCGGCCGGCTGGAGGACAACTTCGAGAATGCCCAACCAGTTTGTCCAAACCATTCTGTGGTCAGTGCAGCAGTGCGCCCAGCTCCGCCTACATCGCATTTGTGCGATGAGCGCATCCGCCTCGCTGTCATGGCCACGGTATTCCAGCCCAAAGAGTCGGTGTTGAATCAGGACAAATGTGGTCTCGGGATCTGGGACATCGGGAAGAGGCACAATTTCGGACGCGGATAGGATGATCCGACAGCCTGGGCAGCTGGCCGACCTCTGACGGAGTCTCTGCAGCGAGCCGAGGTGCCAGTGAGAGAGCACAGTCGGCTTACTGTCATCGTCCGGTCTTTTCTCCTGGATCGAGTTGACCAAGCCGACATGCTGGCAGACGGCGCATAGCTCAGTTCCTGATGTCGAGGTCGCCTGTTCAGAGATCAAACAACTCAGGAGCTCGTCGAGGACGACGCAACTCTGACCCTCAGCCATGTTTATCGCACCTGTTAGGTGATTTACTGTAGTTAACTAGACAGGCTGTCGATGCAGGATCAAGGATGAGATTCTCTCTTTAATACGAACATGCTTGGCAACAAGGAGTGTGCCTAACCTTCGACTCCGAGTCTAGTTCGGCGGCGAGGCATCATTTGTGACTGAAAGCAACGGTTTGCGAATACGAGGTCGCGTGCTTAGACGTTGGGGGCCGTTCGCGTCCCCGCACGTATCTTGACATTGCCACGTCTGCTAGGTAGGAAGTCTTGCATGGAGCACAGCCCCCGATTGCCAAATAGCCTATAGGACTCAATTGAGACAGAGTTGCTTCGGGCATTCTTATGGACTGGCAACACTCTGTTATATCCCAGGTGAGCGGTGATTGAAGTGAGTCAGTCCTAGATTACTCTCATAATGCGTTTGAAATCGCCTCGATAGGAATGAAATCCCAGTAACTCTCGCTTGTATAAATCTGTATAAAACAGTTAGCTTCCGCCGATCAGATTGGGAGGGCAGAGGACAGCTTGAATGAGATCCGCATAGGCCGGTTCCGGTTCCGTTCCGGGGACTCCTTTGGTCGGGCCCAGAGCGGTGTTACTCGTGTGTTGCTCCGGCCGCCGGACACCGGAAGATATCGGCGGGTCCCATCAAGGAAATAAACCTGAGACCAGCCGTATTTACGGCTGAGATCACTCCGTTCACAGAGCTGACCCCGCTCTTCTGTCTGGCAGGTGATGATGCATCTTTCCAAACCGTGCTCACTGGTGGTGGCCCATAATATTCGCCGACTCGGTACCGACGGACGAATCAAAAGCACTCAGTCGCAGTGCAACACCGAACAACGGCGCGGACAGGACTGTCCGCTATGACGATGGGAGTAGAAAAATGGCCGATTGCGCTCGTTGCAAACATGATAAAAGAATCTGATCCTAAGGTTGTTGTCAATGTCGTCGATGTGGTCACTCATCTCGTAGCTTGATTGCGCACCCATCGCCAAGCACAACCACCACAATTTCGCGTGTAATCTTCGTACCCCCTATTGTAGCCACCGCCAAATCCGTCGCCAAGCATTCGCTAGGTTCCGCCGGCCAAGACAATGGTCGGTCCTACGACGGACACCTCTCGTCAAACCACCCCTCCGGAGGAACCCACACTTCCTGCCGAGAAACCGGCAGATGCCAAGGATGCTCTCGGCACTGCGGACCCGGACGACACCTCCAGCACCGATACCGATCTCGGTCCGGAGCCTCCCAGCGAGGAGCCGGTGCCGGACCAGGCCGGTGGTGGCGATGAGCAGCAGGTCACCACTGTTGTAGATCAGCAGGTTCCTCCCAAGTACTCCAGCTTCACCCTGTGGCAGAAGCGCGGCATCGTCTTCGCCGCCTCCATCGGCGCCTTCTTCTCCCCGCTGTCGGCCCAGATCTACTTCCCGGCCCTCAACCTCCTCTCCGAAGAGCTGCACGTCTCACGCTCCCAGATCAACCTCACCGTCACCACCTACATGATCTTCCAGGGCATCACACCCATGTTCATCGGCAACCTCGCCGACACCGCCGGCCGGCGCCCGGCGTACATGATCTGCTTCGTCGTCTACATCGCCGCAAACATCGGCCTCGCCCTCAGCAAGAACTACGCCTCGCTACTCGTGGTCCGCTGCCTGCAGTCCGCGGGCTCCAGCAGCACCGTCGCACTTTGCCAGGCCGTCGTCTCGGACGTCATCACCAGCGCCGAGAGGGGCCAGTACATCGCCATCACCGTCATCCCCATCCTCCTCGGCCCCAGCCTGGGCCCCGTCATCGGCGGCCTGATCTCGCAGTACCTCGGGTGGCGAGCCATATTCTGGTTCCTGACCATATTCGCTGGTGTCTGCTTCGTCATCATGCTCCTCTTCTTCCCCGAGACATGCCGCGCTCTGGTCGGCGACGGCTCCATCCGCCCGCATCCCTTCTACCGCACCTTCTGGCAGCTCAGCACCGACGCGCACCGCAAGCGCAAGGCCAGGAAGGCGAGGAAACATGGCGGTCTCCACCGCACCACCTCCACAGCGACGGCCTCCTCCGAACCCACCCGCCAGCCCTTGTCACTCGGCAAGTTCAATGTCTTCGCCTCCCTGGTCCTCCTCTTCCAGAAGGAGCTCGGCCTCCTCCTCTTCTACTCAGCCTGGGTCTTCGCCGGCTTCTACGCCGTCTCCACCGCCATGCCCCAGCTCCTGGGCCAGGCCTACGGCTTCGACGAGCTCCGCATCGGCCTCATGTACCTGCCCATGGCGGGCGGCTCCATCTTCGCCGCCTTCGTCATCGGGCCCCTCATCAATCGCAACTACCGCCGGCACGCGGCGCGCGCCGGGATGCCGCTCGTCAAGGGCCGGCAGGACGACCTGAGCGGCTTCCCCGTCGAGCGCGCGCGCATGGAGGTCGGCGCGCCGCTGCTGGTCGTGGCCTTCGCGACGACGGCGGCCTGGGGCTGGGCCTTCGAGGCCCGGGCGCCCGTCGCGGTGCCCTGCGTGCTGCTCTTCCTGCTCGGCATCGGCATGATCGGGTTCAGCAACACGGTCAACGTGCTCATTGTCGACGTCTCCCCGGGGCGGGCGGGCGCCGCCGTCGCGGCGCAGAATGTGGCGCGGTGCCTCGTCGGCGCCGGGGCGAGCGCGGCCATCGCGCCCATGATCGACGCCATGGGCGCGGGCTGGTCGTTTGTCATCGTCGCCCTGCTGTACGTCTTGTTCTTCCCGATGCTGTGGCTGGTGATGGCCAAGGGGGTGAAGTGGAGGCAGGAGCTGGCTGTCAAGGAGGCTGCCAAGAAGAAGAGGGCGGAGGAGAAGAAGGCGAGGAAGAAGCGGGAACAGGATGGGCCCGAGGATGGCGAGGTGGCTGCATCTGGTGTTAAGGAGGAGAAGATTTGAGTTTTAAACTGTATTGCGTTGGACATGGAATTTGTCGTTTGTTTATTTGGATGGACTGAGAGAAGCATTGATACCCTTGCATAGCGGAAAGCCTGAAATGAATATGGAAGGGGTGTAGCATAGGCAAGATTGACAACTGGATAGGGGTTTGGAGTGCTGATGCTGAAATAAGCTCTCCCCTAGAGTGCGATTACCTCAGCTGTGTGGGATCAAGGTTGTTGGAGAAATCGTCTAAACTTGGTCCTAGATAGCAAGACTTTACTTGGCAACATGGGCATATCGAACATAATTCAATGAAGTCCTTCCAGACATGATGTTCGAAGGCTGTACGTGCAAACTTGGTATTGGTAATGAGTGTGGTTTGAAATATCAAAATGTACCGCAACGCGTTCCTGCAAGTCTCTTTCGAGTGCTCTCCTTCCCCAAGTAAGAAAGGCACCCGTGTGGCCTCCACCTCTATGAACTGTTCATTGTCTCGGTTGACCATCCCTACTAGGAACCCAGCAAAGGCAATTACAGGCGGTTCGGCCCGCCGCGGACGGCGCCAAACTCTGTGTCAAAGAGACGAAGCGAAGGTGGGGAATCGATCATGTTTGCCGTGCCTTTCGCCAGGGAGAAGGATTCGCATCGAGTCAATTAGTGCTGTTCAAAACTCTTGATTAGTATTCTACCCATTAAGGAATGCTACTGGACCTTGAAGCACATGAAGGGTAAAGCAAGGGAGTTCACTTACACCGCAGGTAGAGCAAGCGCAGCCGGAGCAGGAGCCGGAGCAGCCGCAGGTAGAGCAGGTGCTGGAAAACGACACAATTAGCAATCAGCATTTCCGTTTGTGGAGAGACGCAGATGTGTGCTCAAAGAGGTTGCAGCTGCTCCTTCCTCACGGAGACCAAATGGGCGGCTCATGACCCAAGGAAGCGTACCACCTGCAGGGACATGCCCATAGTGATGGGGCGGCAGTACAGAGAGATAAGAAAACTCACCAGTCAGTGCCCTTCATTTTGACTGTGTTTGTGACTGTAAATGGAAGGTTACAGGTATGAATCTGGGTTGGTCTTTGTTGGAAGATGGATGTGGCCTTGGCGTTTTTGTGTCTACAGAGGAAAGAAATTTCCAGATCTCTGCACACCAGACTAGGAGGACACATCGGGGGTATTTATACCCGAATTTCTACTCTCCGAAGGCCATCTCAGCTGCGAGGCCGTGGCCTCAAAGTCTGCAGGCAGCTACTGCGTGTGATCCGCTCTACGCATGTTACCTCTAACTCTTATGCTGGCGCTGTCCGCGCTTGAACGCTCCCACTCGCGCTCCTCCATCTTACCTAAGTTGATATCTCATCGGTTGAAATAGCCTGCTCTTATTGGCCAAGCTTCCCTACCGTGGCTCTTCTGTGCCACGGTCCCGCGTATTTTCTCCTTGGTGATTCGTTCTCTGCTCTAGTAGTTCGTAGCGAGTGGGTGACATGTGAGGTAAGGGCCACTCTAGGCATGGTGTTGGTATCTGCCCACGAAGCGGCGGGGTCGTCTCGGGTTCGGGTCGGGTTGATCGTGATAGAGTGGTGCAAGAGGATTTTACCGAGGCTTAGCGTGGTGGATAGGACGTGGGATGGAGGTCGAAGGCAGGTGGACGTTGGACAAATGACGAGGCGGGCAGTTGCAGCGAACAGGGTAGGAGGCGGCGGCTTTGGGAGGGTTATCGAGCATGGAGATAGGCAGATGTGCGACGGACCTGCTTGGTGGTGTGGACCGCCACGGTGGTGATATGTGACAGCGCGTCCGGAGTGGATGAGACTAGTCATGGAGCTGCTGAGCTTTCACGTCATGTTGGATAATGCCTCGTGGGGGTGTACGGGTTGGACAACACAAGAAGCCATGGGTACCCGAAACGTGTGACCAGCTGGGGCTCTTCCGTAAACTTCTCAGGCCGTACACACATGCAGCTCGGGGTAATCGAGCTTGGCTAGAGTCGTGGGACAAGAGGGTAGAGTTGGTGGAAAGGTGTAGTAGGCTGACCAAGCACAGCTGATCGAGGCACTACTCATGCAGAACGAAGAGTGATCGGAGAGGTGGGCGGAGCCAGAATTTCTGGCGGCTATCGAGGATAAGAGAAAATACCACGAGGAAGAGGCGTGGGTTCGCACGGGGGCTAGGGCCAAGCTGATCAAGAAGGAGGACAAAGGGGCATGAAAGCGCTCTTACCTGGCTGGGTGTCTGATCAACTAATATATACACGACTTCTAGGCTTTCCCGATAGCACTGGCGGTCAGGAGAAGCGTCCAGAAGGGTTCTCACTGCTCGAAGGGCCACTAGGAGTTTGTCGAGATTGTCTATGTATGAGGGCATTTTCGAAAGTGCGTGTGGCAGTTTCCTCACGGAGACGGCCCGGCCCGCGACTCTTGTAGGAGGTACTTCGTTTGCGGTGACAACTACACGTATGTCCAGGTAGCAACGTGCAATCTTTGCGTAACACGTTCGAGAATCTGTGGTGTCTGGCTGTAATCTAGAGAATCCGGTTGGTCGGATTGGATGCACTGATGATGATTTGTGAACCTTGATGGCTCTTGGCCGTAACCTTGATGGGCAAGCAGGGAACCTCTGCAACGAGGGTCCAGCACCATAGAACCCAGCACACAGCACTGAAACAATCGAGAAAGCAGCGATAACAGTGAGTGCTTAGCTATCGCTATGGGCTTTATATAGCTATTTTATGCTAGGTAGCCTAGGTACTGAGCAGTGTTGAAAACAGGGGCCGCTTGTGTGGACCCTAGATTCAGTCCAAGTTGCAATTCAATAGCTAGGATGAGATTCTGTTCTTTGGGTGAATTCTCAGTCCTTGTACCTACTAGAGAACGACGAAGCGACACAATCATGCGCCATTTAATTCCTATGTCAACCCCCTTCAAGACAGCCTCAGCGGGACGACATCACCCAAGATCAAATCGAGTCATTTACAAGGGCTGACGGCGATAACAACCTGGGACATTTCCTAAAGAGATTCCTAAATTTGCCTAGATGGTACAAGCTTCAGGCGGAATGGTATACTGTGCCCTATTACGACTTCATCGGAAGCGTTGCCTTCGCCCTCGAATGCAGTTCGACCAGCCATACCTTCTCGCAAATGCCTTGGCTGGACAATGCCATTTGGTCTAGCGACATCATTAATGTTGTTTGTGGGAGAAATATTGCCTTCTTCGACTGCTGGTGCGCTCTAGATTATGATGGCTTTGCTCGGATACTGCACACATTTTTGCACAGGCAACGATGTGGCAGTGCTTGCTTTGAGTTTCGTTGCAAGACAGATTTATCTAACGGTCAACGACATAGCCATCAAGAGCAACTACATATCAGATCTGCCAACTCGACATTGAACCTACCAAGGACGATCGATCGAGATGTTCTGGAGCTCGGGAGTTCTGTCCTGTTCTCGAGCCGGTTGGAGGGCTTTGCCAGCACCAGCGCGACCTCAGCGGAGCTTCTTTAATACACACCGAGGAATCGCTTTCTGGTCTGGTGGGCACAGTTCAAGACACACCATTGGGCATGCTGCTGATGGCCTTCAGGAACGCTCAAGAAGAATCATCTCTTTGATTAACCAACAAGGCTGTCGCTGGTTGGCCACGCTTAATCGTAAACGGCGGTTTCGCTTGCAGCTTCAGTACGGTTGACGTCTATGGGCACAACAGCCTCCCAATCGTGCTGTTCAATGCCACGCATATTCTCGGTGCCAATGGACTCGGAGTGACAAAGCTCGCCTATGGCAGAGTCTTACACTTTCGTGGACCGCCTCGAGGACATTGGCAACATCAATCTAGTACCGGATTGGAAGCTACTCGCACAACCACCAGTCCTACTGAACGATCGCCAGACAACAACGCTATGTTAAGCCGTGCCATGCCGCTGACCTGGACCTGACCTGGACCTGACGACCGCTTCCCCACACGCCAATTCGCACCCCGCCTCGACAGGAAGTTTCCATCTGGGGAAGCCACGTGCGAGATAGATGGGGGTGGGAACAAAGTCACCAAACAGCGTGGGATGTACTCCAGCTGATGGGAGCACGAAGAAGGCACCCAGCTGCTCCGGTGTTTGGAGCATTTCACGCCCGACAGCCGGTCCCGCCAACAGGCGGCCGAAGCTTCCGACCGGGGTGTTCGAGGTTCAATGTTGTTTAGGCTAGCGTGTGGCTGCTACGGGAGGCTTGCCGAATCATGATCGGGGGCAAACCCGACCTCAGTTTGGGGATGAAATTCGAGTCTCGTTCTCGCAAGAAGCGGAATGATTATCCATCTCAATCAGCTCTCGACTACAGATCGTATATACACAAGCTGATCGATGACCTGTATCATTCTCTTGAACAGGTTGAACGTTGCGAGTGGCGATCTTCAATTGATATTGGTGGCTGAAATGCCGTAAACGAACTGAAATGCCGACCATTGTGCGCCATGGGGCAGCCCTGGAGGACTTCAGCCCTCCATAAATAACATTGCTCCCTGCCATTTTAGTGTACCCAACCCCGACTTTCGACCTCTTGGCATGATGTTAGCCGACTGATACGACGGGAGTTCATGGATTCAAATCAGCCCATGCTGCTTAATTGCACGTCGATAGACCGGCCACATCCGTCTTTCGTATCAGCACCCAGACCAAATTAATGATCCGTCGAGTTATCGGGGCGTTCCCAGCTAGGGCGTGGGTTTCTCGGGGTCAAAAGCCATGACATCCATGGGCCAAATGGTGAGAGCCTCAGCCACGCTGTTGAGGTCGCAGTCCACTAAACCAGCTCAGGAATAGTTTATGTGTATGCGCTACGGCTCGGATGATGCAGAGAAGCTTGTGGCCTAAAGGCAAAGCTTGTTTTCCAGACAGCGGGAACATGGCGGACTGCCCCCGCCGCCACCACGCGATCGCAATTGACACGACGGTTCACTATCAAGCAACGGCACAGTCCATATGCCGTATATCTGGCTTCTCGACTATCTGGCTTTGGTTGCTACAGCTCTTATCGAATGGAGTTCGGGGATCTCGGCTCTCGGGAACACGATATCTATCTATCGCAATGAATGCAACCTGTCGAGCTATCAAGCAAGGGCTCGCTCGGGTTCGGATGTGCCGAGTGGCACGCCTGGGTGCGATTTGCCAAGACCCCATTTTCCAGAAAGCGGCCTAATGATCGCCGCTCTTTTGCCGTTCCAACGGTCCCGTTTCGTGAGACCCCCTCTGGACTACCTGCCGCTTCAAGACAAGCTTCTTGACGGCTGCCCATCCCTGATAGCTATCGCTCCCCGTTTCCCGCGACTTTCCCTGTTCTCCCTATCTCTGCGGAGGCACAAATTGTGGGCAGCCTCCGCAGTAACTATACGACGAGACTGGGAAGCCCAAGGTAGGCAATGAACGGACGGTCAGTCCCTTTGCGTGCAATTGGCCATCCCCGCACGGTTCTGTGCTCGTTGCTAGACGCGAGTGGGGACGTTGCGATACCTCCACCACGATGGGTGGCCACACGCATAACAAGCCGCACCATCAGGATGGCCCGGCCGCCCATTGACCTTCCCAGGGAGTTGGGGCGGGCGGGGGAACCAGGGTATCGTACGTTGCACCAGCCTCGAACACTATATAATCTCTGCACTCCATCGGCCGCCGATCTCTTCTTCAGCTCCTCCTGTCCTTTCCCCTCAGCCAGCCAAAGCCGCATGGCCAGACAGCATCGACCATGAAGGACCAACACGAGACAGCCATCTCGCCCGCAGCCAGCGACGACCTGCGGGTCGAGAGCACGAGCTCCCAGGAGCTGCGGGAGCAGATCGAAAGGGCCACCCACGACCTCGAGAAGATCGAGAAGGCCCACCAGTGGGACCCGAACCTGCCCCAAGAGAAGATGGACTTGGTCCGCAAGGCCATCAAGGATGGAGATGTTGGCGAGATCCTTGCCGCCGACGAGTTGTTCTCCGAGGACTCGCCGTACGAGTCTGTCCGTGCCGCTGTCCGCAACACCGACGGCGGCGAGGTCGCCAACACGGTCCGCGCATGGGTGTTGGGTATGATCTTTGTGACCATCGGGTCGGGATTGAACATGTTTCTGAGTATGAGGTATGTGATCTATTATCGGCGCTTCACGGCCGGGCAACTATGCGACATAGTCGACAGTAGAGAGAGTATAGTTTCTGACCTTGACTCGCCAAAACAGGAGCCCGGCGATCAACTTCCCAGGCATCGTGATCCAGCTGCTTGTCTACCCCTTTGGATGTCTGTGGGCCAAAGTGATGCCAACCCGGGTCTACACCACCTTCGGGGTCCAGTGGACCTTAAACACCGGTCCCTTCACCATCAAGGAGCACGCTGTCGTCACACTCATGTCCAATGTGTGCATCAGCTACGCCTACGCTACGGACGCTCTGCTGGCGCTGGCGGGAAAGCCGTTCTACAACGTCGATATGGGCTGGGGCTTCCAGCTATTGTTCACGCTCAGTTCCCAACTCATCGGTATCGCCCTGGCCGGAATGTTCCGCCGCTTCCTAGTCTGGCCGGCCGCTATGATCTGGCCTGGCCAGTTCGCAATCACCTCGCTCTTCTATGCGCTGCACGACAAGAGCAAGAGCGATGGGTCAACGTCCAATGGTTGGACGATCAGTCGGTACCGCTGGTTTGTTTACGTGATGTGTGGCATGTTCATTTACTACTGGATCCCAGGCGTGCTCTGGCAAGGCCTATCGGTCTTTGCGTTTGTCACATGGATCAAGCCCAACAACGTCGTTATCAACCAGCTCTTTGGCGGCTTCACTGGCCTGTCGCTTATACCGATTACCTTTGACTGGACATATGTCTCTGCGTATCTTCAGGATCCACTTCTGTCGCCGGTGCACTCGCATATAAACACCCTGATTGGGCTTTTCATCTTTATGATATTCACGACCATCGGCATCACTTACTCCAAAGCACTGTCAGTACTCGCATATCTGAATCATCCTAGCTCTACCAGTGTCATACTAACAAGAGCCATGGCGATGTAGATATTCAGAGTACCTCCCCATCAACACCTCGCAGACCTACGACAACACTCAGGGCTACTATCAGCCCGCCAAGATCCTCGGGCCGGGCTTTACCTTTGACCTTGAGAAGTACAAGAACTACTCGCCGCTCTTCCTCGCGCCGACACTGGCCCTCAACTACGGCCTCTCTTTCGCCGCGCTGACCGCCGCGCTCGTGCACATCGGCCTCTACCACGGCAAGGAGGTCTGGTACCGCTTCCGCACCGCCCGCGACCAGGAGCCCGACGTGCACATGCGCCTCGTCAAGAAGTACCAGGAGGCGCCCGACTGGTGGTACGTCGTCCTGCTCGTCCTCTCGCTGGGGCTCGGCATCGCCACGGCCGAGGGCTACGACTCGCAGCTGCCCTGGTGGGCCTTCTTCGTCGCCAACATCATCGCCCTGCTCTTCGTCATCCCGACCTGCATGATCCTCGCCGTCTCCAACATCCAGCTCTCGCTCAACGTGCTCTCGCCCTTCCTCGCCGGCTTCATGATCCCGGGCAGGCCCATCGGCGTCATGATGTTCAAGGTCTACAGCGTCATCACGCTGGGCCAGGCGCAGGTCTACAGCGGCGACCTCAAGATGGCGCACTACATGAAGGTCCCGCCGCGCATCACCTTCTGGTGCCAGGTCGTCGCCACCTGCTGGGCCGCCGTCGTCCAGGTCGCCACCATGAACTGGACGCTGGGCAACATCGAGAACGTCTGCGACAACAAGCAGGCCGCGCACTTCACCTGCCCCAACGGCCGCGCCTTCTTCTCCGCCTCCATCGTCTGGGGGGTCATCGGCCCGCAGCGCATGTTCGGCCCGGGCAGCCTCTACGTCCACTTCCAGTACTTCTGGCTCGTGGGCGCCGCCCTGCCCGTCATCTTCTACGCGCTGGTCAAGTGGGCCAGGTTCAAGCCGGCGCGCCACCTCAGCGCGCCCATCATGCTCGGCGCCATGGGCTGGCTGCCGCCCGCCACGCCGCTCTCCTTCTCGAGCTGGGCCATCGTCGGGCTCGTCTTCAACCACGGAATTCGCCGGCGCTGGGGCGGCTGGTGGCACACGTACAACTACATCACGGCCGCGGCGCTGGATGCCGGCCTCATCATCAGCACCATCATCATCTTCTTTGCCATCACGCTGCCCAACGTGACGATCCCGCAGTGGTGGGGGAATGTCAAGGTTATGGAGACGCTGGTAAGCTTTTTTTTATGACCCCTTTGGGAAGAAGTTTGTTCTGTTCTGTAATAGCTAACATTGGATTCACCGAATAGGACGCTACCTACGATGCCATCCTAAAGCATGTTGCTAAGGGCGAGACGTTCGGCCCAGCGACATGGTAGATGGTGATCTGCTAGTGGAAGTGGCTGAGGACGTGGATGGAGCCAGATCATATCATCTGATATAAATCACCCCCTTTTTAATTCCCTCATCTCGTAGTTGTCTACAGGTTCCGAAATTCATTTCGATTATGTGGATCTTACAGTACGTTGTAGTAGTTGAGCTAAGCTGCCTGCCTCAATAGTACAATCATATCTATTCTCGAGACAAACGGTATAGTGATATGATATATTGAGATCGAGTCACCCGGGTAGGAATATTGTGATTCCAAAGATCAATAAACAGACTTTGTCACTTGAATAAAGCAAGCATATCCCACTTTCAATCAAACCTAGACAGGACCAGTGGGCATCAACAGAATCCTTCTGGCAAGTCACAATAAATCAGACCAGCGACGTGGTGTTCAGTTTGTAGCACTTATCCGCCGGGATCCTCTCTCCTTGGTCCCACTACCAGACCTCAGTCAGCAATTCTTTTCATGGTCTTGTACATGTGAGAGTCGCCTGCAACTTACATGTTCATGAACACAGCCGTCAACCCAGCGCCATCGGTCAGTCACGCCGTACTGCGCGTACGACATGTTCGTGCTGGCATCGAAGCACCACTTCGAATTGGCCGCAGTTCCAGCTGGTCGACCGTTGCAGAAAAGGGACCAGATGGCGCCAGGCCCGTCAGCGTATCCTGCATGGTGTTGCTGTGACTTGTTTTAGTATACGAGTATATATATATTCATAGCCCGGTCACTGGCCGGTTGTTGGATAGTCAACGGCCTTGACCTCACCTTGTAGGTAGAGTCGATCAGCGAGAACATCTTCCGCGGGTCGCCATCGACCACGAACGCCTTGTAGAACTCGTAGGCGCGCTGGGCGGTCTCCTCCACAGTCACGCTCGGGTCGGGCTTGCACAGTTCCGGAGGCTGCTTCAGACTGCACAGGTTCTCCCGCGGAGCCCGCGTGGAGAGCGAGTTGTCGGCAAGCGGCACGGCAAGGCCGGCGCTAGGTGCCAGGATACTGACCGCGAGTAGAAGCAGGGCGCGCATGTTTTCTTTCGTTCTTTGGCTTTTTCTCTGATGCGACTGACGGCGGAGCGACGGGACCACATGCACTTGCGAAATCGCTTCCGGACTCACACTCCGTTCGAGTGCTGGACCCATAGTGCCCATGTGCCTATATATACATCCTCCATGACAAAATGTCCGATCGACCACTGACAACATAAATGGGACGCCATCTCGAGCAGAGATTAACAATGACGCGGGTAAATCCAGCGAATGGCAGGCCAAGGTCTTGTCCTGTCATCAGTCTCAATTAGCCTCTATCGGCGTCCCGCACCACAGAACTGCCTTATTAGGCAACGCATGGAACAATAAGGGGGCCGGCGGGGTTCATGAGATAATTTGAGAGATCTCGTCGCGGTCCTCCGTTCGTATGCCAATAAACGCCATCAACGGGGTAAAAGGCTTGGCAGGAGAAATATCTAGATTTCATCATATCCTCCAGTAGTGCTGCAGTGCCCTACAGGTCCTTCCTGCATAAGCGAGGCTTCCATGGTGATCATCGTCACAAGCTCTCGGTGCATACTGGGCATTACTTGATGAGTAAGAGTTCCAGTACTCTCTAATCAAGACTATACCAAAATCCCAAGACTATACGGTCATGGAAATTGTCTTACAGCATGTAGAGAAACTCTAACTAATTGCGCCGCTATTCTAGTGGAAGTCAAAATTTGAGGGAATCCTTGTCAGCTGTCTGGTATCTCGATGATTCCTCCTCTCATCCAAGTTTATAGCCTACAGAACCAATGGCTGGAGATTGTTAACATCCTCAATACTTGAAAAATAGGACAGCAAGATAACTAGAATGACATTAATCAGCAGACATTGTCCTCACATGGTGGGGAATTGATCGATCATTATCATTGATGGCCTCGTATAACTCCTTGCGAACTATTCCCATGATGGCGAGTGAATGATCTGCGTGGCGCGTTTGCAGCGCCTGGAAAATCAGATGTGTGCAAACTTGGAAAGCATTGCCTCCTTCCATCTCCATTTCTCGTTGGTTCGGCCCCCGAGCCTCAATCGGGGATGGCATACCACGGAACCGGGGTCCCGGGAGCAACGTGGTGACTTTTGCCGACACAATGTCATTATCCAGCCAATTGCACACCATGCTTCCACAGTAGTTTCTCAGCCAACGGGGTAGTAGCATGAAGCAAATCAAGGGCCCCGGCTGCCGATCGGATTGCCGAATATTTCAGGTCCCAATACCATTTACCGACAATGAAGCCGACGTAGTATCCTCGACGGCGCGATGAGATTATAAAAGCTTGCCTATATCCCTGGGGATTCAGGTGGGAAGTTGATCAAGATCTCACCTCTTGGCAGCATCAGATCCCTCAGAGACCAGTCCAAAGAAGAAAAAGAGACTCAACGACAATCACGATGCGGTCGGCTTTCTCCCTTCTCGCCTTGTGGGCCACCACAGGCCTCGCCGCGCTGACCCGGGTCACCAACTTCGGCGCCAACCCGAGTGACATTCAGATGTACATCTACGTTCCTGCCCAGGTGGCGGCCAAGCCCGCTGTGATCGTTGCCGTGAGTGGCCTTTGTGTGCCGGAGAGGAAAGTCAGGATACTGATGTGGATGTCAAACAGCTCCACCCGTGCGGCGGCTCCGCAACCCAATGGTACGCGGGCACCCGGCTGCCGTCCTACGCGGACAAGAACGGCTTCATCCTGATCTACCCCGGCACGACCCACATGAGCAACTGCTGGGACGTGCAGAACAAGGACAGCCTGACCCACGGCGCCGGCGGCGACGCGGGCGGCATCATCAGCATGGTCAACTACACGCTGGAGAAGTACAACGGCGACCCGACCAAGGTCTACGTCATGGGCTCCTCTTCGGGCGCCATGATGACCAACGTTCTGGCCGGTTCCTACCCGGACGTCTTCGAGGCCGGCGCCGCCTTCTCCGGCGTGGCCTTCGCCTGCTTCGCCGGCGCGCCGTCGGCCACGCCCTTCTCCCCGAACCAGACCTGCGCCCAGGGCCTGCAGCACACGCCTGAGGAGTGGGGCAACTTTGTCCGCAACGCCTACCCCGGGTACACGGGCAAGCGGCCGCGCATGCAGATCTACCACGGACTGGCTGACGGGCTCGTGCGCCCCCAGTGCGCCACCGAGGCGCTGAAGCAGTGGTCCAACGTCCTCGATGTTACTCTGGCCAAGAATGTCACCGGTGTCCCTTCGGCCGCGTACACGCAGATGATCTACGGCGACGGCTCCAAGCTGCAGGGCTTCTTTGGCCAGGGTGTCGGTCACACTGCGCCGGTTCAGGAGGAGCGCATCCTGAGGTTCTTCGGCATTCTCAGTGGTTCTATTGTATAGAATAGAGGTCAATTTTTGGCCGGCCAACAATCATGTCACTCGGGTTGGGAGGGAGGGTTGTAAGGTATATCTACACAGTGAGAATTGAAAATCTGGAGATGTCGCAGCGGTGCTCAGATTTGTCTTCTTGACGTGTAAATCGAAACTAGCCTCATGGGAACACGAAGCCGTTGCCTTCTTCCGCAGTTCGGCGTCGGCGTCTAAGGATGCTAAAGATGCTTAGTGCCACTTCCGGAGCTTTTTACGACGTCCTGTCCAGAGGTGATTGGTGTTTCTCGGTGCTGGGTGCTGATGACCGATTGATGTGAGTTCCATGACGTCTACCATTCGATCACTAGTGCATCTATCAGAACCCGCATCGCGGGGAATCCAGGGCTTTTCGGTTAGCGCTGTCGCCGCATACATCGTCCAGGGGCCTTAACAACTCCCGAACGACGTGACGGACCCAGGACGTCATTGAGTGGCATGCGTCAAAATGACCTTTGAACCACGGCGAGAATGGCCGTGCTTTTACTCCGTCACCAGGAATGTGGGGATCGCTTTGCATCTCTTCTCGGGCGTTACATAACAATGAGATAAGCCGTGCTGTGTGAGATCATCGCCACTTCATAAGTGCTGATAATGCCAACACCACCTTCCTGAGACGAGTGCTGCTTTTGGGAAAGGTCATTTGCAAATACCCAGACATACCAAACATATTCCAAGAACAGCTCCAAAATGGCGACAACTCGAGCAGCATACCATGCCGAGCAGGCAATCGGTCACGATGGCAGTTCCATCACCAAGCAAGATGTCGCGGACAACCAAAAGACCGGCGATCCCAACGAGACCATGAAAGCGTTAGTCTGGCAAGGCAAGAACAAGGTGGAAGTCGGTATGTGGTTAGCATTGCTACCGCTCACCTATCCCCATATTGACTCCGTTCAGTTGATGTTCCGAAGCCGAGGATCCTCGAGGATCGCGATGTCATCCTCAAAGTCACGGGCAGCACTGTCTGTGGTAGCGACTTGCATCTGCTCCATGGTAGGTCGATCTAGAGCCCGTTTTGCCACCATTGTAGTCGTTGACAAGGTACCAGGAAGCGTTGTTCAGATGAACAAGGGCGACATTCTCGGACACGAATTCTGCGGCGTGGTGGACTCGGTGGGCTCAGCTGTCAAGGGAGTCAAGGTCGGAGGTCGTTATGTCGCCTCCTTCCAGATTGCCTGTGGTGATGTGAGTCTCACTATCGCCTGTAGGAGAAAGTTACCCGAAGTCAGCAGCTGACATTTGAACCTGGCAGTGCTTCTTTTGCAAGCAGAAGCTGTCATCTCAATGCGAGAAGACCAACTCTAACACGACTGAACGCGCCATGTACGGATCACAAACTGCAGGCATGTTTGGCTACTCGCATTTCACCGGTGGCTTTGCTGGTGGCCAGGCCGAGTATGTTAGGGTCCCGATTGGCGACGTCAACCTTCTCGAAATTCCCGACGACATCCCTGATGAGAAGGGTGAGTGGAGTCTTCCAGGTTTCCACTGCATGGTTTGATTGTTGTAATTGACACAACGAGTTAGCCCTCTACCTTTCCGACGTCCTTGCCACCTCATATAACTGCGTCAAAGATACTGCCGTCTATCCTAAGGACCAAGTCGCCATTTTCGGTGCCGGACCGATTGGTCAGATGGCTGGCATCTTTGCCATCAACGAAGGAGCTTCCAAGATCATCTTTGTCGACACGGAGCCCCGCCTATCATTCATCGACAAGAACTGGCCCCCCGCGCACGCCGACAAACTGGAGCTTGTCGACTTCAAGAAGCTGTCATTTGGCGTCACGGGCAAGGACACCGTCGTTTCTAAACTCAAGGATCTATGCGGCGGTCGTGGACCGGACTGCGCTCTTGAGTGCGCAGCTGGCGAGTATGCCAAGGGCTGGATGCACTGGCTCGAGATGCAGCTAGGAGTCGAGACGGACACGAGCGAGATCTTGAACGAGATGATTCAAGGCGTTCGTAACTACGGGCGATGCGGCGTTACTGGTGTTTACGTCGGATATGTAAGTTTCAACCTCCCCGAATCCGGTGTGATTGACAGTGCTTTCCCCATTGACACGCTTCCACAGACGAACCACTTTGCCATCGGCTCATTGATGGAGCGTGGCGTGCGCCTCATTGGCAATGGCCAGGCTCCTGTGCAGAAGTACTGGAAGGACTTGCTCAAGATGATCCAGTCCGGCGAGCTGGACCCCATGCAGATGGTCTCCCACCGCGTCCGACTGGAGGACCTGGACAAGGTCTACTACAAGTTCGAGGCCAAGGACGAATCTATGCAGAAGGTTTTCGTTGAGACGAAGTTCTCTTTCCCTGCTGCTTCGAGCAGCCCCAAGCTCACGCGCTACTAGGCGCATCATATATGTTGCTTCAGTGTACTTGGGTAGAAAATGGTGTTTAGGGAGGTGTCTCTTTTAAGGCGATGTAGTATGCTTACCATTTTCCATAGCCATATGTGATCTACGCTCCAGTGTCAACATGGCTTGAGAAATTTGAGTTAAAGAAAATTACAATCCCATGGTTCTCAGATAGCACCTTGGTCCTCAATATACCCTACGTAAGAACTAGCTGCATCTAAACAGTCGATTCAGCACCACTTTAAAACCCGGAGATCTACTCCGGACACCAGGGTTATGTGATACCAAGCTTTGATGACCATTCGGCCACTAAGATAGATAGCTGAGCTAGTGGATCGGCGGAGGCGGCGGCATTCGCTCTCTTAGTAAGCTAATTCATCTGCCATAACCCATAACATGTCATTGACTTTCTTAGTGTGGGCTTCGTCACTGCTGACTGACAGTATTATGAGGTGATAGGTTTAGGTACCTGCCGCGCGGCGGCTGTGAGCCTCACTGACGAAGTTGGCCCGATGTAGGTCGACATGGGGCCGAGATCCCCGATGAGCTTCGCCATCATGTAGGACGAATGATGACGAAAATGTTTACACCATGTAGTGCAACTGCCGACTCTGCAGGGACGGGCAAATTTCATCGATCCATGACGACGTGGAGTCCGAGCCCCCAAGCCCAGCTGGCTACAGCAATTTTAAAATATAAGCTGTAGCTATGAGTTCTGTAATGTGAACGAGATTCCGGTGCACCGTTCGTTGACAAATCAAGTCTGAAGCTCAATGGCTTCCAACACCAGAACCCTTGCCGTTGTGGCAGGTCTTCTGTCGCTCGGACGAGCAATACCGTTCGTCTCTGAACCAGCTACTACCGTCAGCGTCTCAGCAACGACCACAGTCTCAGATGTCCCTGTCACAAACGTGACCTCCCACGGTCCGTTCACCGGCACGCCCACGACCACTGGTGCACTGTCCACCGACGTCATCGCGGCATCTGTCGATGCCCTTCCCCCAGGACCAAATGCCTACAAGTATCCCTCCGATGGCAAACTGCACGGCAAGCAACCCGCCCCGTACACACCGTCCGGAGGTTTGGGCACCAACGGCTCCGCCCCGGTCTACCGCGTTCAGAGCGACTTCGACTACCAGTCCATCGCCGTGGCGCTCTACCAGGAGTGGATCGAGCTCGACCTCTTCCACTGGGGCCTCGCGCAGTTCTCCGCCGAGGATTTCGAGGCGTACGGCCTCACCGCCGAGGACCGCCACCTGATTGAGTTCATGGCCGACCAGGAGGTCGGCCACGCCACCCTGCTGTCCAACATCCTAGGCCCCTCGGCCCCGGTGCAGTGCACGTACAACTACCCCGTCTCCAACGTGCGCGAGTTCATCGACTTCAACCAGAAGCTCACGCGCTTCGGCGAGTCGGGAGTCTACGGCTTCATGAACCACCTCGACGCGCGCGAGGTCGGCCAGCTACTCCTACAGAGTATCTCCACCGAGGCCCGGCAGCAGATGATCTTCCGGCAGTTCTCGGGGCTGTTCCCGATGCCCGTGTGGTTCGAGACGGGCATCCCGCAGTCCTGGGCCTGGACGCTGCTGGCGCCTTACATCTCGTCCTGCCCGGGGAACCAGACCCGCCTCATCTGGCAGAACTTTCCGGCATTGTACATCCTCAACCAGCCTAACCCGGCGCGCATCAATGGTTCCAACGCGTGGAACGAGACGACTGGTGGATGGGCTAACACGCTCAACACGACTGACATCAAGCCCGAGGAGGGGTGCCGCAACGCCACTGGGGTTGGTATCAACTGCGATCCATGCATCACAAGAAACCGCTCCGAGCCGCTCTCGTACCCCGGGCGACAGGTCTTCCTGGAGTGGGACTCGCCCGGCCAGCCTGTGGGGCCGAACAACAGCTATGTTACCTCGACGTCGGCGAAGAAGCCCCAGTTCGCAGCGTGGGTGACGCAGCTGAACGTCACGTACTCACCCCTGATGAACGTGACGAATAACACCGCCTACACGGTGCAGCCTGATGTTTCGGTGTTTGAAGGCGATCCTGCCATCAATGGGACGATGTTCTTGGCCATCACGGATAAGGACCTCTATGTGACGCCGTTCAATCTATCCATGTTGAATCCTCACGTGTACGCGCTTGCTCTGTATCAGGCTGGTTGAGTTCTTCGGGATCGATTGAAAAATAATGGAAATTTGTTCAGGAAGACTGAGAGGATCATTGTCAGTATAATACCTTGAATAAAACACATCCATACATCATAGCTGCATGCGAACTATACATACACGATTTGGCATTGGCTTTGAATTTCTAGTTCTATATAATTTTGACCCGAAGCACATCTCAATTGACTGCTTTGGCTGTTTCTCTGTGCCTTATTGTCGCATCGGCCTACTCCGGGATCTTGTGTTCATTGGCAGGAACTCCTGTTGCCCAATGGAACTTGGACGCCGTATGCTCGTCTAGAGGTAGCTTTTGACCCTCGACGCCGTAAAAGTTCTCGCGATAAGTCCCGCTGGGAACATCATAGTCGTCCCAGAACAACCCTCTTGCGCGTAGTTCAGGAAGTAGAAGGCCAATAATTTCCTTGAAAGACTGGGGGAACAAAACATAGGCCTAATTGAGGAGGTTAGCGGTAGTGTAGTTGGAGAACCCTTCTTGTGAAGCTTACAAAGTTGAATCCGTCGACATCAGCCTCCTTAATCCAAACCTCTAGCTGGTCGGCGACCTGAGCAGGCGTTCCCACTAATAGAGGACCGTTGCCACCAAGGGCGACATGCTCCGCGACGGTGTGTTTGGTCCACTTTGAGTTGGGCGGAGCGAAGCGAGCGTAGCCTTCGACGGTTGACCTATTCTATGGATTAGTGCAGTCCAGGTTCGGCCTCGTTGGGTCATCATACCTAACAGCATTGCTCTCTACCTGCCGCAGCTCCTCGTCATCACCATACTGGTTGAGGTCAATCCCAGTCCACCCGCCAAACAGCGTCAAGGCCCCGTCCAGTGACGCGTACTTCTTGTACTCGTTCCACTTGGCGATGGCTTCCTCCTCAGTCTTGCCGAGGATGGGCGTGACGAGGGCAAGGACCTTGATCTTTTTCGGGTCGCGGCCGAACTGATCACGCGCGAGCTGCCGGATCTCGGCGATGCTCTTGGCGCAGACCTGGGGCGCATGCGCAGACACGAAGATGGCTTCGGCATGCTGCGCGCCGAAGAGCTTCCCGGCGCGGGAGGTGCCGGCCTGGAGCAGGAGCGGGGTGCGCTGCGGGCTAGGATCCACGATGTGCGGGCCGGGTACGGAGAAGAACCTGCCCTCGTGGTTGATCTGCCGCACCAGCTCCGGATCAGAGTACAGTCCCTTCTCGCGGTCCAGCTTGACGGCGTCGTCGCGCCACGACGACTGGAAGAGCTTGTACATCACCTTGATGTACTCCTCAGCCTGGGCGTAGCGGTCGTCGTGCTGCGTTTGTCAGTGGTATTCAGAATATCATTGGATGGAAAGCATGGGACTTACGGCGGGTTGTTGTGCGTGACCGAGGTTCTTGGCAGCAGAGTTCAGATAACTTGTCACGATCTGTTAAAGGCTGTAAGTTGCCGTGATGCGTCAACGAAGATCAGGAGGAAAGGGGACGTACGTTCCAGCCCAATCTATCAGAACCAGTTAGCATTGATCGGCATGTATGAGAGAGCTTTCTGAAAGTATTTACCTTCCATTAGTGAGATGGTCCACGGTTGACAGTCTCCGAGCCAGATGGAACGGCTGCTCATAAGTGGTCGAAACGGTAACTCCGAAGCCGATGCTCTTGGTTGCGGCGGCCATAGCTGGGACCACCGACAACGGTTCAGTCACGGGCCACTGCGCGCCGGAGATAATCGCTGGGTCCAGAGATTGCTTGAAGACGTCATATCCGCCTTGACAAGGTGCATTGTTAGCCTACGCCGGACTCGGCTGATTGACTGCTTCATAACAGCGCTACTAGTTTGAGCGGCTACACTCACCAAGGACATCTGCAATAAAGATACCATGGAACTTGGCTTCTTCAAGCAGTTTGGCAAGCTCGACCCAGTGGTCGACTTCGTGAAAGCGCCACGACTGGTCGTCGGGGTGTCGCCAGAGGCCGGGGGACTGGTGTCCACTGCCTGACGATGGCGATAATAGAGATCAATAATAAGGTCTTGCCGCTTTGCAGACATCTAAATGGAAGGGTGACCAGAGGCTTACACATCATAACGAAGGCATTTACAATGAGCTTCTTCTTGCCGGCCGCTGCGGTCTCGCTTTGCGTCGCCATGTTTGCTGACGAGGGGTCCCGTGAATGCTTCGAGAATCAAGAGCTATACTGAGAAAAGGACAGGACAAGAAACCTCAATGTAGACTTTCGATAGAGATGGTAATTTTCACTCGGCCAATGGGCTTGCCTTCGGTAGTCCTGATCTGCTGTGGTAGTATATGTGTGCCGGTCCTCGGCGAAAGATGCTCCATGAGGCATTGCGTGATTCCCGTATCAATGATACAAAATACCCGTCTTGGGGTGTCCCTGTTACCAAACAGATGGAGAGGGACATTTGCCGCGATCTAGAAAAGTGATTATCATGATTGGCGAGGGGTCCCTCCTGGTGGGTGGGTCAGTTGTGTTGCGTGCTTTGGTGATGATCAATATTGTGAGTCGAATTGCGCCATCGTGGTGGCCTCTGTCCAAGAGACTAATTAACGACCAGTCATGCCGAATATGCCTCTTCCTGCATAGGCTGGGTTGACAGCACGGATACGTCCGTACCTCAAAAAGAAACAAGGGCTCTCACATTATCTTTTAATATAATATTGAAAGGCGCTAAAAGCTAGAAAAGACACGAAAGGCGTCTCGCCGGGTGCAACTATGAGTGGTTCAAGTTGGACAGTGAAGCTCCGGCGATTATCGCAGTCTTGGGCTGGTGCACACAACAACAAGGACCGTCAACAATCCCAACATATACCATCCAAGATGCCAGAGGCGACGACCCCAGAGATAGTGATCCCCAACGCTCAGAATGTACTGTTACTTCATGGACCGAAGCAGCAATACCGGATTGAGAGAGATTATCCGATACCCAAAACCTCTGGCAAAGATGAGGTCCTGATAAAGAACTCTGTCATTGGCCTTAATCCGATCGACTGGAAAGCACCGTGAGTCGTTTCGTATTTCAACCGTAGCCAGAGAAAATGGCTGATGAGACTATAGCGATTTCAACTTTGGCATTCCTGAGCTCCCGTACATTTCAGGGAGGGAATGCTCGGGTGAGGTTGTGCAGGTGCCGGACCAACATACGAAGCTCAAAATTGGGGATAGGGTGAGCTCTTACTTGCACTGAACGTCTTGCGACCACTTTCTTACAGTCTGACCTTTGGCTTACAGGTTATCTCAATATCGACCGACTATCGAGATCTTCGCAAGGGAGCCTACCAAGAATACGCTGTTGCACTGAGCTACAACACTGTTCGACTCCCTCCAAACGTGTCACTCGAGGACGGATCAACACTAGGTGTCGCATTCGTGGCTGCGGCCTTGGCACTCGGAGTAAGCTTGGGTGTCGACTTCTCCGATGTGCTCGACGGACCAGATCTCTTCAGTCTCCTACGCAGCATCGGCGAAGACTCGCTCCCTAAGGACATCAGGGAAGAGTGTCTTGCATCTATAGAGAGTCACGAAAGAGCACGCTCGGGGGACTGGTTAGCAATCTGGGGTGGTGAGCTAACAAGTTCTACTCGCATGGGTGAATCACCTTCTAACAACTTCCCAGGGTCGGCGACATCGGCGAATCTAATCATTCAACTGGCTCGACTCGCAGGGCTCAAGATCGTTGCCGTGGTGGACAAAGCGAAGCACGGTCTAAGGCTCGCGAACCACGCTGTGATCCGGCCCGATCTCTTGGTCGACAGCCACGACCCAGAGCGGGCAGTGGACATCATCAGAGCCAACACAGGCGGCCATCTTCGATTCGGAATCGACACCAGGGGCAAGGATACTGCAGCCAAGCTGCTGCAAGCTCTGTCTCCAGGAGCGCCATCAAAGCGATCAACCATGGCACCGCCATCTCCACCCGCGACCCCAGAGGACTCGACGAGATTGCGAGCACACTTGGTAGGCCTGACAGGACTGCCGAAGGGCCCAGCACCGGAGGCGAGCTTGTTCCATACGGTGCCAGTGAAACTCTACCACGAGGTACCCGCGGTTGGCGAGGCACTCTCGCTCTGGCTCGAAAGGCTTCTGGCAAATGGTTTGATCCATGCTCCTGAGATTATAGATATCGAGGAGGGGCTGGAAAATGTAAACAAGGGACTAGATCGCATGCGGCGGGGCGAAATCAGTGGTGGGAAGCTCATCGTACGCGTGTAGATAGCCCTGCATATTATTAGTATTGTGATTCATAACAGCATCGCAGCATAAGAGCGTATCCTATAAACCATAAGATTCCTCCTATCATAGTATCGCAGATAGAACGTGCTCAAGGTACATCTTTCAGTGCTGACTAAAGAAGGCGTGGTGACTTTTATGCTATTTAATCTGATCTAAGTAAAGTTGCTCATTGCGTCATATCCGCTTCTATTTGATAATCTCATGTCGAAATGAGCTAGTGTTTGAAATCGAACGCATAGCCCCAGCCTACATTCCTGAGCTTCATGTCCAAGTAGTTCCACATATTTCCGTTTTAACGTCCGTTGTCACTCTCCTCGGGCGAGTTAGCGACAGAGACGACCTTCGCATCAGGCGAGCCGGGCGCCTGGCCGATTTCCTTCTCCGTGGGGTTGATCTGAGTGCCGAAATGCCTTAGCACCAACCAAGCCGGGCCGATCGCCGCTGCCCACAGGCCAAAGTTGATGTAGACCCCACCAACTTCCCCAATGATGGAGATGGCGCAGAGGCCGTAGCTGAGGGCTTGCCAGGCAGACTCGGTACCTCGGAGAAGAGCCGAGTATCTGATGACCTCGGCTTGATCGCCCGCCAAGTTGTGGATGATGAAGTAGCTAATGAAGCGTGAGTAGTGCTGCCTGAGGGCGTATTCAGTGAGTGGGATCCCTCTTACAGAAACATGTAGTTGAGTTGAAATCCCATGGTGAGAAATATGAGCACCGCAAACGCAGCACCAAAGCCGGGAGTCGCCCAGTCATATGTTGGGCGGGTGCGATGAAACTTGGTTACCAATATGGTAGCCCAGATCCACCAGCCACCTTGAAGGGTGACGATTGTGGCAAAGGCATACCTGGCCCTGATCTTGAGGGGAATCTGGACTCGGTCAAGCCAATGCTGCCAAAATGTCGTGTTAGTTAAGGTAGTGTCTCTAAGGATGAAGGAGATGTACTCACACCAAGAAGGTTGCCGCAAGTGATGGCTATGATGCCTCCCAGGAACGAACCGAGAGCTCGAGCTCTGACGCTGAACCACACTAACTCGGGTCAGCAGAGTATAGGCGTAGCTGTTCAGGGTCAACTCACAGGCCAGGTATGTGAAGAACACTGATTCAGCAAAGACTGCTTGACCAATGAATAAAACCAGAAGGAGGAACTTCTTGGTGAAAAACAGCCTCGTAGTAGCCTTGATCTCAAACAAAGGGTTGTTGACGATGGATAGATTCACTTTTTTTCCGTCCTTGCGCTGAACTTTGTGAGGCCGGTTGAGAAGAAATGCGACAAACGGGCCAGCCGCTTGAAGTGCAATAAAGATCTGGAAAACTGTGTAAGAAACTTTCCCAGCCTCGTTGCGGTCCGCATTCAAGCCAAGGTTAATCGCTCCACCGATGATCTGACCGCTCAGTCGATATGTGAGCCAGTATCCAAGAGCTTTTCCGCGGTTCCATGGCTCAGGATACGCAATGGCGATAGCAGCTTCAGCCATCCAGAAGACGCCGGCTGAGATGCCACAGAGAGCGGCTCCGAGCAGCACAAGCCATTCGTTGCCGAAACGGTTGTTTGTGTACAGTCCAGCGGCATACGGTGCGTAACCGATACTATATATTGTCAACTTAGTCATGGTTCCACCTTCAATCTTCAATAGTGCGCTCGTCATTGTAGAAAGACTTACGTTCCAAAGATCAGTGCTCCCTTGATGCCGATGTAGCGGACCATGGCACTCGAGAAGTAGCAAGAAACCACCATGAGGCAGAATGTCAGTGCATTTGCAGTGTTGACCAGCCCAGGGGTCTGAGCGCCACCGGCTCCGAGCGAGTTCATGGCGACCCATATTCCAGGCGCGGACAGGTTGCACAAGCCTAGAATGGTGATGTTGAAGAAGGTAGATCTATACCATTTCACTGTTTGTCTTGTGAGCGATGACGTCCTCTAAACCAAGTGGAAGGACCCGTACCAGGATGCTGTTGGTCCTTTGGTGGAGCGATCTCGCTCTCGGTATGCAGAGCTCCTGAAGACATCGCGTTTGATTCAGTCTCGATACTGTTACTAGACGACAAAATGATTTTCGACTCTCGGTATCTATTCGAGGAGAAGAGTAAAACTCTGCGCTCTTCTGTCGAGACTATTTAATATTCCCCTGCAAACATCTAGGTATTGTTGAGTCTCGCCTAGTCCTCTTGAACGACACGAGGTCCCGGATAGCACGCCATATTGAGAGCACATGGAGTGAGGGAGGAGGTGACAAGGGGGCATCAAGAGGCCCGTCCATTACGCGTGTTGGCCAACCCCCAAGTGACAAGCTCCACGCACACAGAACTGCGCTTGAAGCACCTCTGTGGAGACTTCTCGGAATGACGCGAGATCTACTAATTCACACGTCGTTTCTTCAAGGGCTTCGGACCTGGTCATGTTTTCAAGTACTCAATTTCTCTCTATTGTTTTACGACTTATTGCAAGATTTCAGGGTGAAGCAATTGCCGAGATTCCCTGGCCCGATCTCAAGGCAGTTGCCACCAGCTCTCATGAATATCCCGGAGGTCTACCTCATTCGGCAAGGTCAGGTAGGACGTCATGTCCGATTCAGGGTCGGTCTCTTTCCTCATCCACCCATTGCCGAAGTACCAGAGAAACCTGTTACCAGTTTCCGACAGGTATTCGTAGTCCCAGTCTTCCCACCTCGGCTCCCGCCGTACGGTCGTTATGTGACCCGCGCTGCCGGGCCACAGACCATGGATCCGGGCACCCGGTTTGCCGCCATTGTACCAAGAGCTGCAAGGGTCTGATAGTACAGTCTTGGCGAAGAAGGCGTCAGAGTACTCGACAAAGTCGTCCGCAGCTTTTGACTGCGGCTGTAGAGACTTGATACCCTCGCGGGAGACCTTACGTAGGATCTTGGCAAAGTATGATATTTGCGTCTCAGCCGCCTGGGTTGTGGTTCCAGATGGACCGGCTGCATGAGGTCCCAGCAGGAACAGGAGGTTCGGGAAACCTGGAGTGGCTACGCCTAGGTAGGTGTAAGGGAAGCCATACTTGCCCCCGGATCCCCATAGTCCACTGATGCTTCGACCGTGGGCTCGGATGGAGAAGTTCGGGACCATGTCAGAGTTGGCACCGGTGGCGCAGAAAATGGCATCGACCTCTCGATGAATCCCATCCTCCGTCTCGATGCCTGTCTCCGTGAACCTCTTGATTGGCGTCCGGATATAGTCCACATTGTCTTCTGCCAAAGCCTCCAGATAGCCTGGGCCCGGGGTTAGCCGCCGGCAATTGGGTGAGAAGTCTGGAATGAGACCTTCAAGCAACTCAGGCTTCTTAGCCACGCGCTCGGCCATGATCTCGATGAACTTTTGTTTGAGCTCCTGATTGTCCTTCGAGTCCTTGAAGAAGGTGCCGAATCGGCGCCAGTACTTGTTCTCGAGCTCCTTGCGAAATGCCAAGTAGGTTTCGGGGTTCTCAAATGACTTCTTTTCATCCTCAGTATATGGCTGAGGATCGAACGTCCGCTCATCACCAGCCCATGACGCCGCAATCCATGTCTTACTCCTTGCGTAATGGTCCAGTTGCTTGACATCTTTCTGTATGTTTGCCACTAACTGGATACCACTGGCACCGTTGCCAATCACAGCCACCTTCTTGTCTTTGGGGTCAAACGAAGGATCCCAGTGCGACGCATGCCGGAGGATTCCTTTGAACTCAGAAATGCCGGGTACGTCAGGTAGTTTCCAGGCATTGAATCTGCCGATCGAGGTGATGACAAAGTCGTGCTTCTCCACTGTCGCCTCTCCTGTCTCGCCGTTTTGCACCGTCGTCAACCACACACCTTCTTTGTCGTCCCATACAGCGTCTTCGACTTGGTGCAGGAATTTCGCGTACTTGTACACGTCGTACTTTCGCGCCACAGCCTGCCAGTAGTCCCGGATCTCACCCCCGGGAGAGAACTTGTCGGACCACGTAGTGCTCGGCTCAAAGGTTGCCTGGTATACATGGCTTGGAATGTCACATCGAACACCTGGGTACACGTTTTCCAGCCAGGTCCCGCCCTGAAGTCATCGTCAGCCGAAGGTCTGGGATTACTCGATTTCCACACTCACGAAGTCTGTATTCTTTTCATAGATGGTGAGCTGGATATTGGGCACTTTCTCGGGCAGTAGAATGCCTGCTAAGACCCCGGAGAGACCGCCTCCGATAACAGCGACCCGTAGAGGCCGCGGCTCGTCAATGTACCGGTCCACCAGATCCAATCCAACTCCAGGGTAAGTCGTTGACTTTGCACCGCGAGTGTTTTGCTCGAGGTTGAAAGCGACTCCATTGGCAGTGGGAGCGACTTCCTCGACGGACGGAATTAAAGGCCTGTCTTGCGCATCTACAACGTTTCGGCCCCCCAGCTTGCCGTTCAACTTCGCTGTTACCAGACTGCTCCCAACGACAGTGGTGGCCATGCTGTCCAATATTGGTGCTCTGCGTCTTCTTGGTAGCTCTAGTAGACAGTTTGCACTTGTTAAATGGTAGGAGATATTCGACTGACTTGTTTGAGCTTAGTAAAATCAGAGGTGGTTTTGATCCGGTGCCTGCTGCAGCCATGCAGAACAAGGTGTGATGATGATACCCCACCGACTCAAGAGTGACAAGCACGTCACTGTGTATCACCATGGCACAATGGCCGAAATCGAACGGTTTGAAGCTGCCGAGGCATGCAAGGATAGCTTGACTGCTTATCTCTCACGCTGGCAGACTAACAGAGCACGTAGCGGTCCGGGGGCATGACACCATCGGAGCAGCCCCACACCCTACCCGTAACACCGTTCAATTTGGCGGAAAGGCGCAATCCATATTGTTCCTACAGTTTTTTTTCAAAACCTTTGTCTCGAGTAGTATGAACCAATGAGCCGTGGAATAACAAGTATGAGATGGCAATTTTGTTCGTTTCCTTTGTGTATTTCTATAGGCCTGTGTCCAATTTCTGTCGGTAGTGCTGAGTAAAGTCATGCTCAATGCTCGATACTTTCTACATTGCCGTCAGATTGTTTTTTACACCTATCACAGTAAGAAGTCGGATACGTCTAAACTCACAAGAAGAAACTCTCTCATCGAGTTATCGTCTTTCTGCAGATCTTTCAAGATCCCAAAGAACTTATCCGTCTCCAACACAGTCTGTGGATCAGACTTGGCCACCCGATTGAGATTCTTAATCGATCTCGGGTCCACGTACTTCAAAAAGATATCCCGTCTGACTTGAGCATACTTCTCGAGGATCTCTTCACCAGCCATACCGTGAAAATACCCCGAAAAGCACTCCGCGAGACCACCTACGTCCAGCACCGCAGACATGCATCCGTATCCGCCCATTGGATTACAGACATGAGCTGCATCGCCTGCAAGAATAACACGCCCGACTTTGAACGTATCTGCACAGCGATTGTGAATGTTGTATAGGTTCGTTTGTTCAATCCGGTACTGGGTTGGGTCTGGGTGGCCTGGGAGCATAGCCTTCATATGTGTTGGTCGGCGGTTGAGGTATTCCTCGTCGGTGAGACCTAGCACTGGATCGCCGTAAGTGACGCGCCACAGACCTCCTTTTCCTCTGTGGGCTATGAGACCACAGTGGTCGGGGTCGATCATGTAGTTTCCTCCGTCCCAGTTGTAGTCTTCGAAGCCATCGTAGAAGACCTGTCATCGATCAGCGCCAAAATGCTCTGGGGTCAAAGGAAACGGACGTTTTGAACAACGAATCGGTAGGGAAGTGTTTGGCCTGGCCAGGTCCTTCCAAATAGCGAGTGTCTCACGGCACTTGATGCACCATCGCACCCAACGACGTAATCAGCACTGAATCTAGCCCGCTCGGTGGACCCTGAGCCCTTGATGTCCACGTCAACCCAAGCGGTGTTCTCATCCTGACCAACACTCGTGACTTCGTGATTGAATTTGACTTCAATCAGTCCTCTCCCTCTCTCCATGCAATGCCGATACATGATTTTGATCATTTCGCCGAGCGGAAATATCGTCATGCGGTCAGGACGATCCTCGACAAGTGAAAGATCAAGATCAATCAGCTTCTTGTGATCTGAGACTCTTCTCCAGCAGATGCTGGGGAATTTGGAGATACTGGCTGCGCGAACGTCGTCCAGAATACCGGCGCGGCGGAATACTCGCGTGGCTGGTACGCCATACTGTGTTGCACGTAAACGCGTATCGAGTTCAGGCCAGGATTCAAGAACGGTCGAGGATATGTTCTGCTGGGCGAGGAGGAGAGCGAGGAGCAACCCGGATGGACCAGCACCAACGATTACGATCTGTGGGATGCCTGGTCAGCTTAATTGCGTCTGCGTGTATCCTTAATAGACTCTTGCCTTTTTGAAGTGGCGACTGGAAGAAGTATCCGTCATTGCATGGGAGATTTTGAACAATAGTTGTCAGTCCCAGTCCAGTATGGAGAGAGTTTTGGTAGGACCCGAAGAGACAGTGAGCAAACGATCGAGATATATCAGAAGCCAACGGCGCTAAGGTCTGGCTTGAGCCGATCTCCGGACCGACGCGGGGTTGTGTTGCTTACGGGGACATCATCGGCATCTACAATCGGTGATAACTCTCATCACATTTTAGGTGCGGTGTGAAGTTTGTCATACTATAGCACTTATTCTTGTCATTGATGACATAATGCATTGAGTTTTGAATCGATATTATATCTATCTAACAGTCTCCTTCAAGGACAGAATTAGCCCTCATCCATATTGCTCAGCACCTAACTCCATCCCGAATCATGCATCGTCAAAGAACACTCAAGTCTCAGAGCCAAAAGGAGGATAAACTGGAGCTAAGACGCCATCACAAGAGTTTTGGACGAGATACGGGCTCGCAGCGCCATCGCTGGCGAGGACCTGCCCACTTGGAGAAGTGATGCTGAACTTGAAGCCACCGCTATAGTTGGCCTCTCCATACACCAACCGAACGGGAATGTACACCTGACCTGGAAGAGCAACTGAAAAGGTAGTGCTCCCAGGAGTGCTGGTAAGCGGGTTGTACTCGGCATTAGCATCGGCGTTGCCCTTGGTCCATCCAGAGTATGCCTTTGCGCCGATCCAAAAATAAATAGCGTCGTCCGCGTAAGGGAAGCTGAAGGTGTATGTGCCTGCGTCGCAAGTAAAAAGGTAACCGCGCTGGTTGAGAGCAAAGTAGCTCAGGGGAAACTGTTGAGAGGATCCGTAGATAGAGCCGACAGCTCCGTTTCCGCCGCCAGAGCTGCTCTGGAAAAGGCCACCGAGCTGGTTGGTGGTGCTGACGTAGATGGGGTTGTCTGACTTGAATGAAGCAGGGTCGAAGCTGGAATAGGTAGCGTCGTTGTTCACGGCCGGGTTGTTGAAGTATGCCCAGCCGAAGCCGAGGTTATTGCAGCTGGAGGGAGTAGGGCATGTTGCTGCAGTGGTTGTGGTGCTGGTCGGGGCCACAGTGGTGCTGGTCGGGCTCGTAGTAGTGGTAGGACTGGCAGTGGTGCTGGTGCTGCTGCTGGTAGGGAGGGCAGTCGTCGAGGTGGAGGGAGGTTTTGGCTGGCAGGGTGAAGCATGGACAGCGCCGCAGAGGCAAGCCAAGACGCTAACGAGTGTCTTGGGGTTCAACATGGTGAATGGCTTCGAAAAAGGAGGATTTTAAACGAAGGACGATTAAAGCACCGAAACAGAAGCAATGAGGAGAGACAGAACTTATGCGCCGGTTGGGAATAGGGAACTTGTTGATAAATACCATGACCTTGCTTTGGCAGCTAACCAAAAGAACTAGCAAGTTGACGTAAGTACTTTGATGCTTCTAGACCTAAGAGCCCCTGCACATTACATCGATAGTTTGGAAACTAAGCCTTTTTTTTTCAAGACGCTATTGGAGCTAGCCCCAGGGAGGCCAAGACGAATCAACAAACAGTAGGGATGGGCCTCAGCTCGGACAAATTCGAACAAGATCCACGTAGTTTCAGCTTCAATTCTGATTCAATTAGGCATAGAAGGCACCTGAGCCGAACGAGATACTCTTCTGTGTAAGTGGAGAATACAACACTGCCCCAAAGCAAAATACCTGCAGTCCTGTGTTAGAACTTGGCCAATTTGAAGCCGACTATTCAATCCCAAGCCTGACTGTCAAAATAACACGACCCGGAGCGTAGCCGCTCTTGAAATCCCTATATGCTTTGGTAGGCATCTTCGTCTTGACAAGTGTTCCGAGACGTGCTGGCGCATCCGAGATCTAGTCTAGGAAGTCGAGCTTACTCCGAATCACCACAAGACAGCACTGATACTGCCAACATATGCAAGGAACCTACAACTCGCCCAATAGATCGCCGATCGTTTCAACAACCTACGAGAAGTCCAATTGTCAGACTCTTCAAACAATTTACTCGGCAGCACAGACAGGTCTTGACCTAGACATTTCGCCAGCAACTCGCCTTCTTGAACCGAAATATCTGTGAAATGCTTGGTATTCAAGAACACATATCTTTTTGCTGAACCTATTATTTCCATTTGATGTATAAAGTCACAACTTTTGTTCCACTCAACTGCATGTCGCTGCTGTCACCAACAATAGAGCACCCTTATCATGAATACTCAGCAGTGAGTGTCACCGACGTACAGTTGAACGTATCAACCACGACTCCATCACCAGCCTGACTTGATAAGTCAAGCTGCATCCCGCAGCCTACCCAGTTCTTCATCGCCCCTTCCGCACAGGCCAGGCCATCCCCGACCGAGCAATTCAGCGACTTGTACTCCGGCTCCAGATCCAACGCCATCTGCCCGTCAATGAGGTAGACCGCGCTGCCATCGCCGCGTGTCTCTACCACCGCCACGGCAGCGTTACCAGATTCGCCGACGTAGCCAATCGCACATAGATGACCCGAGCCCTCCACGCTGAACTGACTCGAGTAGTTGGCGCTCGAGGTGAAGAGGATGCCGTCCCCACTGACCTTGAGATACCATCCGTCGAAGAACCCTCCTGGCTGACCGACACGCACCGAGAAGGGCGTGCCCGTCTCGCCGCAAGTCTTATCTATGGTCGCTGTTGGCGTCGCTGAGCTCGTGGTGCGCGTCGTGTTGAGGAAGCGGCCTGTACTGGTCGAGTTGGCGAAGCGGGTGGAGTTCCAGAAGCGTGCTGTGCTGGTGGTGTTCAGGAAGGGCGCCGACGTGATGGTATGGTTGAGCCACTTGGCCGTGGATGTCGAGTTGAGAATGCCAGAGGTTGCGTTTGTGACTTTCGCCGTGCTGGTGATGTTGAGGAATGGCGCAGATGTCGTGCTGTTGGCGAAGCGGCCCGTGCTTGTCACGTTGGCGATCATGGTTTTGTTGACGACCAGCTCTATACTTGTGAGGCTGGGTAGCCCGGTCGACATTGTTGTGTTCATGTACTTTCCGCTTGTGGTTGCATTGAACCCCGTTCCTGTGCCTGTGCTGTTGACGATACCTTTGGTGCTACTACTCTCCGAGCTGCTCGTGGATGCAGCTGCGGAAGACGTAGTCGATGAGCCAGACGTGATCACTACACCGACCTTGCTAGTGACATCAATAGAGGAGGCACTCGAGCTCATTTTGCTGCTAGTGCCGACCAAGCTCGACGACCTCTTCGTGCTCGATCTGCTTATGCTGGTCGAATTCTGAAACCTCCCCGTAGCCGTGGCGTTATGAGTGCTATTCCCGAAAGGAAACGCAGTCGTCGTCACGATGTGCGTCGTCCGCGGCGTCGAGGCCGTGATTGTAACATGCGGTATGCTCATGCACGAGCATGCCGACGAGTACGCCGCCGCCGAAGAGCAAGGCGAGGCATAGCTGGGAAGCGATGTCGCGGTCGCTGTCGCCTGGCGACCTTCCAGAGGAAATGTGCCATAGAGGAGGTCGACGACCTCGTGTCGAGCTGCCCAGCGGCGGAAGGGTTCGATCGTGGCAGTGGTCCGGTTCGAGGTCGCGTTGCTTCGAGTCACGGTCGTTGTGCTGTAGATTGTGCTGTGGTTTCTCTCCATCAGCCCTGGGACTCAAGACGCAGGGACATTTTGCAGTAGCAGCGTATTACCTCGTTGCCGGGGTCACAGTGGCTTGGAAGTATGAGAGGCAGTCTGCGGTGCCATTGCGATCTTTCGTCGGTTCTTTCCTGACGGCTTGACAGGTCCGGATTAGCTAAAGGCCCATGGATGCGACCCCGGTCGCGGGAGCATGCAGAGCTTACCTCGCAAGCAATTGTTACTAGAGCAAGCTGCAGCTACTTCTCCGACAAAGAAGAGCAATGGCGACAGCAGAAGGGTGCGCATATTGGGTGAATCAGTCGCGTCGGCGCAAACACGCCGAGTGAGCGATCACAGCGAGTGCCAGTCATCATGTACGGGTTGAGGAGACGACATGCTGGCGGCGGAGCTTTCATCTACTGCGATCGCAGCAGCTTCTGCGCTGGCGCTGCTCCTCCGATCTGGTTGATCACAAAAACTTGGAAAGGTGTGATGTGTTTCAGCAGCATTAAATTGCGGTTGTCATGCAACGCATGCCGGACAATTTGGGCCGCGTACCAATCATCACGTCCTGGCAGTTCATGGGTCCCCTGTTAGCCAGGGCAGAATGTCACCCAAATCAAGGCCCTCTTCCATAACAGCCCTCTGTTATTAAGTCAAATCAGAGAATGATCGAATTGAAGCTAGCAGATCGGCGAAGCTGACGTTCCCCTTGTTGGAGGGCTTGTAATAAGCTCTGCGATGCGCATAAGGTATGCAAGGTAGGTAACGTCCTCTGACTACACAGCTAGCAATTACGACAAGTTTCCTCTCCATCCATCTCAACTAAGTATCGTTGTCGCCCAGTCGCCGCATGATCTAGCTTGAGTCAAACATAAGTTACATAACACCGTGTGCACCTTGTTACTTCCAGTCGCTCAAGGATTAAACCTGAACCGAGGGTCCTCGGTGCTGAGGACAGCCACAGCCGGATCGGCTCCAGCAACGACGCTGTCACCTTGGAGCCTGTTACGCTTGCGATTCTCCCAGCGCATCCAAGTTGAGTAACTAGTGCAGATTACGATGGCCGCTGCACACATCCCGATATTGACGCTGATCGCAGTGATGTACCTGGGAGCCTCATGCGTAATATAGATGTTGCTCGTCAACAGCCCGGAGCAGTTCGCGATGGCAATGTACAGTCCACTCAGCAGCGCTCGAGAATTGAGGTTTGGCAAGTTCGAAACCAGCCAGGCTGAGCCAATCGGAGTTGTGGGGTAGGCCTGGGAGAGTCAGTGTTGGACGAGAACAAGAAGAGCGTGATGAGTTGAACGGAACATACACCAATAGTGCAAAGAAACATGGCAAAGTAGAGCACAGCCGTGTTACTAGTGTTGATAGATGCCAGTATGATGTAGCCGATCAAGCTGACAACAGCTGCAGCCGCAGCGTGGAAGCCTCGGTCCTGAAATCGGTCTGATGATTTGCACCAGGCAACAAGGAAAACGGCGCCAGTAAGTGCCGGCGCAACAGTGTACTAGAAGTTGCACATTAGCGAGATCTTCATTGTTGTTGAAAGCTGTACGGAGGCTTACCAGGTTTGTTTTGACAGTGCCAAAGCCAAGTCGAGCCACAATCATAGCCAGGAAGTTTGCGTTGGACGTTAACATGGTGCCGCAAACAAAGGCGATCACAAACCTGATCCACGGGTGAGGCGTCTTGAACTCAGAGAGCGACTCCTTCCACGCCACACTGGTAGAAACCTCTGGCTGCTTGACCGAATCCACTTCGAGACGAAGCTGTGCCATCTCCTTCTCCGCAGGAGTGAGGAACCAAGCGCTCTGGATGTCAGATGGCAGAAGGAAAAAGACACCGACAGCCCATAGCATCGTGAGGCCACCCTCGAGCATGAACAAGTAGGACCATGTGTAATAAGAGCCGCCTTTGATCTGGAACATGCCGTATGCGAGGAGGCCTCCGAAGGCTGACGAGCCCACCAGAGCTGCGTAGAAAATGCCGATTCGGCTGCTCAGTTCCTTTCGGGTGTACCAAGTTGACAGGTAAAAGACAACTCTGTTCAGCACATATAACGGTTAGCTCAAGACTTCTTCGACTCCAATCCTTCCTATCATCTTGGGAGAGTAACACCTACGACGCCAGGAAGCCAGACTCGCCTGCGCCAACGATGACGCGACAGGCAATCAACTGATGGAAATTCTTGGTCCAGGCCGTAGCAAAGGAAGCGGCTCCAAAGACCAGAAGCATGCCGGCCATGTTGTACCGAGCACCGAACCACTTGGTGCACATGGTCATGATGGGACCGAAGGCAATGAATGGAATCTGGTAATAGGTGAGGACTTGGTTGTACTGATTGCCAACCAGATTGAGGTCCTTTGCAATTCCGGCAGTATAGGCATTTGAGAGATTGCTTCTGTCCAGAGAACTGCAGTTGAAGATCACGAATTAGCAACTGCTTCAACCGACCTGGATCCAGAGGAGCTTACTTGAGCAGGTACGCGATCGTCAGGATCGGAAGGAGGATAAAGTCCGCCTTGAACTTCAATTTCTTGATGACGGCTGGGTCGAGCTGCATTTCCGCTGCGGAGGCCACATGGGTCGAAGCTTTCTCTGCGTTGTCAAGGGACGACCGTTTGGCGGTGGGTTCCATGATTATTCTTCTGTTTTCCTGCGGTTGAATGCAGGAGGAGAATGTCTCTGCTTTGACTCTTGTGTGGAAACGAGAAGAAAGGAGGATCTCGAGGGAAGCTGCGAGTCTGCAGGAGGTTTTCTCAGCCAGCACAACCGATGGCGGTCATTATATAGCATGGCAAGGTAGAATCCCCCGCGTATCTATCCCCACTGGATACCCCGGATTTGGGTTGTCGGGCTGGCATTCTCGACGTCGGCATCGAGATAGGGAAGACGACACCACCTCCCATCAGGGCCATCGCGGCGGGTGACCAAAGTTTAGACTAGGCAAGGTTAGTACGCGATGGTCCCGAGAGATAGTCGGATAAGCCGATCTTAAAGGCTGACTCGTTCAGTGGTCCCGTGGCAGTGGTTAGCCTTTAGCCTTCCCCGCAGATTAAAAAGGAGCTGCTCTTCCCGACCCGACATCGTCGCCGGGTCCGATATTCCAACTCGAATCCCTAGGCACGGACCACGGAGACACACGCACAACTCTTGGTCGGCCATACCGATCAATGCAAACATGGCATCCGGCGAAGCGGAAGCAATCAGAACTCGTCGTGCCTATCGCGTTCGCCGTACTCCACAGGCGTGCAACACCTGGTAAGTCATTCCGTGACAAGGCCGTTCACTCATTACCCACCTCGGCTTCTAGATGCCCCTTGCTATCTCGGACTTGGGGCTGATATTGGATCTTAGTCGACGCCGGAAAACGAAATGCGATGGCACGAAACCGCGATGCCGCCACTGTTCCTCTAGGAATGTTGTGTGTGTCTGGGATGATGGCGACAAGCCAACTCCTGTCTCGACGCCGAGCCCAACAGTTTCGACTAGGAACCGGGTCTCTATCCCGCCGAGCGTAACATCACGTTCGGACCACTCGCCATCAGTATCAGCCCTGATCGAGTTACCAGAGAGCGGACTCGCTAAAGCCTGCATCCGTATTTTCGTTGAGCGGCATCTTGCGACGGACTTTTGCTCCTTCCTCTACCCTGCACAGCTGTATTCTCATTACACCGAGTCACCGTTCCTCGCGTTTGCCATAGTTGCTCTGTGCAGCCGATATCTCGAGAATGACGAACTCGCATCCTTGCCCTACGGTTCCCCCGGAGAAGCATGCGCCCACTCTGCCTCCATTGCCCGATCCCTTGCCAAGGAAACATCGGACCAACCGAGCGGTAAGTTTAAACCTATCTCCTGAACAAGGGGGGTTATGGATCCCATGTCTAATAAATCCACAGTCCCCAACATTCAGGCCAACCTGGTCTTAGCGCTTTCCGAGCTCCTGGCTGATGTCGGGTCCGGCCACTGGATGTATGCAGGGACGGCGATCCGCATGGCCCAGATCATGCGACTAAACAAGGAGTACCACCAAGGCCACAGTCTAGAGCAGCGCGAGGTCCGCCGGCGTACATTTTGGGCTTGTCTCCTCTTTGATAGGCTGCTTGCCTTCTTGCTGACGAAGCCTCAAACACTCTCTATCACCAACATTGACATCGCTCTCCCTGCGACCGATATCTCTCTAGCTTATCAAGAAGCCACCCACGGGTTAACACTCAACCATCTTGCCACCTTCTCCCAGAGGCCCTCGGAGATCGGACTTGCCGCTTTCTTCATCAAGACGGTTGTCCTTTGGAGCGATATCGCAGACATCAAGATATGTCCCGGCCGCTTCACTGATTCACTCCCGCCAACGGATCCAAACAGCCGCTTCGCTCGTGATCATGAGGCGATGCGTAGCTGGGTAGCTTCCCTGCCGCCTGTACTCCAGTGGAACTCCCAGACCAGCCAGATTCACTCGAGCATGGGCCAGGGGCGCCTATTTGTAGCCATGCATCTGTTGATGAAGAGCGCTCTCTGCATTGCACATCAGGCCTATCTGCCGCAGACAGATGGCTCGTCGGTTCTTCTAGATATCGTCGACTCAGCGGGATGGTCGTTGCTCCACAGGGAACCCCAACTCATATCGACTGCTGTATCCGCTGCTCTTGACATTGGCGCCATTGTCACATCTCTTTTAGACGAAGGAGACGAGGACCGTACAGCTCTATTGCAATCTGCCTGGGTTGCTAGCTCCCTGCTGTCGGCCGTCAATACACTGCTTTGGCTCAAATTTGCCGATGATATTACGCCAATCACCGATCCCGAAGCTCGAAGCCGCGCTGAAACATATTTCAAGACATTCTTGAATCTGTTCGACTCTTGGAGAGCTCAAATACCAGCGGCCAAGATATGGATAATCACTCTGAAGGAGCTTGAGGCTACGTATACGGATGCATACCTCGGACAAGCCGATGAGGGAGACTTCAACGAGGTGGACGAGGCAGTTGATGGTGCCTCATCACAATGGTTACCGAATGGCCTTTCTGACCAGTCTTCGGAGTCCCAGCCAAACTCTGGTTACAGACCCAAGCCAGGGGATGGAGCACCGGCTGTAAACGATCTCTCGCTAGTGTCATTACACGATTCGCTGCGGCTGAATGTGCTAGATGAGACTACCACTGCTACGAGGCTGAAACGAAGGCGTACAGTCTGGCTGGAGCTGGCCAGCTCGTGTCCGACGTTGCTGACAGTGCCCGACGGTGCCAGTGGATTTGACATTGGCATGTGAGATAGAGCTTAGACTGCTTATTCGTGTGGACTAGGTATTTGTATCTTTCTTTATCTAGGCGGAGCGATCTCAAATGTAAATGGGCATGCGAATCTTGAGCATTACGCAACCATCGCTGTAGTGAATCGGTCTACGAATTCGCTATCTCACGCATGTGCCATTCAGCACACTTGACCCACCCAGACGCGTGAATTCAGCTCCTTTGCGTGGCAACTCAGGGGTATCAAGCGTAGATTAGCCACGAGACCCCAAATCGCCTCCGACCGTCGGAAAACCCGACACCACCGACCACCAACCCGATGCGGGGAACCGCATGCTTCGGGGTCAAGCATCTTGATGACCTGGATGCTGAAGCGATCGGCATGAGCTGGCATATCATTTAGATTTATTAGGACGTCATGGCACTCTCGGTTGTCTTCGATCCATGTTGGTGATAGCAAACCCGGAATATATCAGCAGCTATCTCGGTCTAGCAATATCTAATCTCGGACATTGTCACTCTATCTCAACGCGCGCTCCAACATGGCCCCGTCAGCTACTTCCCCAGTCACCGCAGAGGATGCCCTCCCAGCACCCATTCACCCCAGCTTCATCCCCAAGCTCGACAAAGACTTCATCGAGTACTACAACGCCCACGTGGGTAACGTGAAGTCGACGCATGAGGTGACTATTAAGGACATCCGGGCGTTCCCAGCCAAGTACGCCAGCGTCTGGTACAAGGACTACTCGTACGAGCCTTTTGTCAAGGACATCAAGATCACGGCCGACGACGGCCATGTGTTCACCGCCAGGATCTATAACCCAGACCCGTCGACCTCGCCGTTCGGAGATGGGCCTTACCCTATTCATATCAACTTTCACGGTAAGCTTCCTCGACCAATGGAGTTTGGCTATATTTGCTAATGACCACGGTGGGACAGGCGGAGGTTTCACGTTCGGCGGACTGGAGGGAGATGCCGAGCTGTGCATGACGGTCAGGACTCAGGTCGGCGTCATGCTCATGGATGTGGACTACAGATTGAGTCCAGGTGCGTGATAGACACAGGAAATGTGTTTTGTGAGGAGGCCACGATAATAACAATAGTTGCAGAGCATGACTATGGCAAGGGCCACGACGATTGCTGGGCTGCTGTTAAATGGGTATGTTATTCAAAGATACCGACCGATCTGGTTACAGATAGCTGACCGGGCCTTTTTGTTTTTAGGTTCGTGAGCACGGGTCGGAGATCAATGCGAGGAGCGATTCGATCTCCATTGGAGGCATCTCGGCTGGAGGCACCATCAGTGCTGTGATCCAGCAACAGGCTCGCGATATCGGGTTGCCATTGAAGCTCGGTAAGTCTTGGTAGAGAGCTTTTCTTTTCTTTGGCCACTGCTTTGTACTGATATTTCGTCGATTACCCCAGCCTTCCTCGGTGTCCCGCTAGTCGCCAGCCACATGTACATCAAGGAACCCGAGGAATCCCCCTACCCATCGATGGTTGAGAACGCCCTGGCACCAACCCTGAGCTGGAGCCGTCTCAAGTATTTCCAGTCCCACTACACTACCAAGAGCGCGGAGGAGAAAGCGGCCCTGGAGGCCAGGGGCGTGTTTTTCTCCGACCCGGTGGACGGCGACCTGGAAGGCCTCTGTCCGACATTCATCGCTACGGCCGAGGCAGACCCCCTTCGCGATGAAGGAGAGGAGTACGGGGCTAGGCTTGCCAAGGCGGGGGTAAAGACTACCCTGCGGAGGTATACCGGTGTGCCGCACCCTTTTATGCACATGAGGCCGATCAAGAAGGCCGTGATGTACGTGGAAGATTACTGTAGCGCCGTCAAGCAAGCTCACGGAGCGTAGATAGTTCTCAATCAATCGTGCTTCACAATTCATCTCTATAATCACTGTCGTGTTCCGATTCGTGGGAGTTTTGGTATTGATAGGCTCTGATTTGGTTGGATCTTGCGTCTTAAGACAAGTTGAGACTTGTATTACCTAAAGTCTAGCTTTAACAGGAGTCACCTGGCTGATAACCAGTCCCGCAACCTCTTCAGCCACGCCCCATGAGATCTCGAACCCGCGGCCTCCCGCACCATAGGCATGCACTACCGGCCCTCGTCTCCCCCGGCTATTATCAGGTTTCTCGACTTCAATCCGCATGCCACCCTCACGAGTTGGCCTCCGTCCTACGACATCCTTTATCACTACCTCCGCACCAAGACTGGTCGTCGTCTTCGGAAGACCAAGTGCCTCGGTCCCCAGCTCCGTGAGCGCCTTGGACAGAAGCGTCTGTCTAGTCGCAAGTCGCGGCTCCGCACACCAATCATGCGGCTCCTTGGTGCCGCCAATGATGGTGCCGCCTTCGAGCGCTCGCGGGATCACGAAGGACCACGTGCCGTCGGTATTCTGGCGCGTGGTCGTCTTGGGGTCGAGCACAGTCAGGTTCGTGAGCACGATCTGGCCCCTGGTCGGGAAGCTCTTGGGGTCACCAAAGCCCACACCGCTGGCGTTGACAACGAGCTTTACAATCCCGTGGTTCTCCGGCAGCGCGAAGGCCTCGTCCACGGACCTCAGACTCCTCTTCAGCGTGCGACCTCCACGGAGGAGGAACCGACGCAGCAGAGCCGTGCAATAAACAGGCGCGTTCACGCAGTAGGTGTCGTACCCGAAACCCAGGGTGGTGCCTACGGGGAGCTCGCTAGACTTCAGAGCGCGGTATCCTGTCAGGCCAGTCTCGGCGGCGAAACTGGCCGCGGTCTGCGCCCGGTATGCCGCGTCGGGGGAGGCGAGGAGCTCGACGGCCGGCGTGGCGATCACGCCTGTCCAGGGCTCGCGCGCGGCCTGGTAGCAAAAGACCTCGGCGGTGCGGCGGAGCCAGGCCGCTTCCCGGACGAGCTGGGGCGTGGATGCCGGGATGGGCCGGACGTGGGCGCCGGCCCAGGCCGAGGCGTAGTCGGCGGAGGAGTCATACTGACCGGGCCATTCCTGGGCGACGATTAAGACATCGTAGGACTTCTCCGGAAGAGCATCCTGGATTGACAGGGCACAGGTTAGGCCGATGACCCCGGCGCTAGAGGGAAGGGAGATCAGGATCAGTATCGAAGCGTAGTCTGGTCTTGTCCCTAGCCCGAAGCCTTTACGTACCCGATGATCACAATAGTGGGTCGTGGACTGGAACTCGATGGGGCAGCCATTGTGATAAGCTCTAGAGGGCTCTGAAATGCAAACGATTTGTGATGGGAGATATTGTTTCTCGTGCTCTCACTTCCCCTATATAATGTCGGGGCTTCCTCTCGCACCGGATGAGGTGATAGAGGAGTCCTGTTGACTCGTACGTTTTGAAGCTCCAACCAAAGCCGAATCATGCCATGATTTTGCTCGTCTATGGTGGAGCTGATCGGCTAATCCGATGGACCGAGCTACCAAAGATTTGGATCTTGCAAGAAATTGGTAGTAAACTTTGTGAAATTGTTCGGGATTGCCACATCGAATGGTGACAAGAACAAATCGCATTGACTCGGAAAGAACTAAATAGTTCGACTCTCGGCATGGAACATGCCATGAATTAGAGAGTATCGTATGAGAAGGGACGGTTGTGGTGGTCGTAATGTCTTCTGGTGAACGACAGAGAGGACTCGAATGTTCAACATTAAAGCAGGGAAGGGTGTCAAATCAGTGTAGATGGACAGACAGAGTACTGACAACCGTCCCTGGAGAGTGATTGCCTCTTTCTACGTATATGATCAAACGATGGCTTGATTGCAGGTCGCTGCCTTGTGTGAGATTGACTGGATATCCTCTTCAGCCCTTTTCTTTAGCAGATAGCGATGATTTGTTCCTCACGTTTCAGATACATAATAGCATCTTGCTATGTGTGCAATTGCTACACGGCGGTACTGTTGATCACTATGTCTTGATCACAACAAAGGACCACGAGCTCTCCCAGCTATACTTCTCACCAGGACCCTTGATCTGGGCATCAAGACGCTTCCACTCCGGGCTAAAAGGCAATCAAAGTTAGCACAATTCAATCAAATATCGAACAGAAAAGCGGGAGACTTACTGGTTGATACCATCAACCCAGTCATGGGCCTCAATAGCCACGCAAGAGCTTCGCGCGACCTTCTTCCTATCCTTGAGACCCTGCGTGCTCTTCAGATCCGCCGTCCCGTCCATCCAGTTGCAGGTGTAGATGACCACGCCGGCCTGGTCGGTCCGCAGCTCGGCCCGCACTCCGGAGAAGCTGCTCGCCAGGATGACGTCCGGGTCGTCGGCCTTGCCCTTCTCGGACGAGTCGTCAAAGACGAAGTAGCCATTGTACCCTTCGCAGGCGCCGCCGCCGCCGCAGTTGCCCGCGAATTTAGGGTCGCCCGAGGCGTGGCCGAGCTGCATGTCCGGGGCGCTGGCAAAGTCGTTGATGCTGTTGGGCTGGGCAGGCAGGACCTTGCCCGTGGGGACGGCGTCGTCGCCGGCCTCGAGCCAGCGGTTGGCGCGGGGCATGTACAGCGTGTGGTTCCAGATCTTGCTCGTGGCGGGGTCCTTGTAGGCGTCGAGGTTGAAGTAGGTGTGGTGGGTCAGCATGAGGGCTGCGCCGGGGGTTCACAGATGTCAGCTGCCGGGTCATTTATGAGGTCAAGACGGATAAAGGGACTTACGGGTGCGGGTTTCCGGCGCGGCGGCAGCCATCTTGATGTGCCAGGTGCTGTTGGCGACGCTATATGTGACCGACGCATCGACCTCGCCAGGCATGCCCTTCTCGGCATAGGCAGGGTCAGTTATCGAGAAGGTGATCGAGTCCTTCTCAGCGGCCGTGACGTTCCAGACGCGGTACGACCAGTTGTTGGTACCGCTGTGCAGAGTGTTGGGGCCGTCATTAGCCTCGGTTTGGTACTTCTTGCCGTCGAGCGTGTATGTAGCCTTGCCGATCCGGTTGACGTAGCGGCCGGGAATGGCATTGTAGACGGGGTGGCCTTTATCGACGGCTGAGAATTGAGTTGGTTAGTGATGCTTATTCTGCTGTGTAATCGGAAATGCCACTTACGATAGTATGAGGTATTATCGTACCCAAGCACGACATCGATGTCCTTGCCATCCTTGTCTTTCACAAACAGGTTGGTAAGGGTTGCGCCGTATGGAATGAACTGTCCAGTGTAAGTCAACCTGCATTCCCTAATTAGTGGCATGAGTCGTTTACCTACTTGTGCCTTGATACCGTCGGCAGAGATTGTGTATCGACCACTCTCATCGGGCTTGATGTTGACCTGGCCAAAGGCAGGAGCAGCTCCTACAAGCACAGGGAGAACTGTCGTGAATTTCATGACTACAATTACGAGTGGTCAAAACCAGGAAGTCAACCAAAGCTTATTACTGCGCCGCCTGGCACCGCGGAGAGAAAGAGCTCGGGCCCAAGAATTGACTCGATGGCTCAATATATATACCATCTTGCCTGCCCTCCCACAACCCCAGACCTCCGCATTACTCCTCAATCGTATGGTATGAGTAAGGTTACTTCACACATCACAGGGCGAACATTTCACCCAGTAGGCTACTGCTCCCGCGATGTGGTAACGGAGGGGCGGGTCCGATCGTGGATCTCAAGAAGAGCAGGGATCTACCGTTTATTGACACCACATCAGCCTGAGTTGCCCGCACTCCGACCCAGATGCCAAACTGGCGCCGGTCCGACAATGCAACTCTGGGGCACCGCGGAACTCCCATCGCCCCAGACGGCCCCCTCCAAGGCAATTTCCGGGTCTGTATGGATCCAAACAAGTTAATCGTTCGGCAAATTTCCCCGCCAGTCCCGGTAGAAGTCACCTTCTGTTTCCAATATCTACGACCGATGCATTGCGCCTGTCAGCCAAGAGAGTGCTGACACTGCAGAAGGAGCAATACCGGTCCACCAATAACTGGAGCGGAATATAGGCACTCTTGTAGATTGAAACATATTCAGGGCCAGGAACCCGATGCGAGTGAGACCGTGGAGCTGGCGAATGAGGCAGCTGCTTGACGAGTGCTATGGTTGCGGGGAGGGATACATTCTGAGCTGCAAGGATCACGACTCAGCTCTGCCCTGGCGAATATAATGCCATGGGCCTTGATCTTATATCCTTTGTAAGAATATCAGGAATGCGAGGTCTGGGCATAAGCACGAATGGTCAAGTCAGAGTCGACGTCAGCCGCGTATGAGAGGCTATCAGAGAAAGATAGGAAACAAGCATCAACTTTTGGCTGTACTTCCGGGCAAACCATAGCCCACATAGATGATTAATATGCACCGCGCACGCAAGGCATTAGTGCTTATGCCCGTCAGGGTGGTCATGTCCTTCGTGGCCGACGTCCAGCCAGTCCTCGAAGCCGTCCTCAAAGAGGTCTGCTAGCGCCGAGTCCGGGTCTTCGGTCTCCATTGATTTCTCCCAGGCGGCGAACTCTCCGTCGTTTAGCAGGCAGTAGTCCATGGCCTTTCGCAAGCGATCCTCTCCACCGTTGCGCATCTGCTGGCCGATAAAGACAAGCTCTTGCCGCCGGTCCCCCCATCGCCCCTCAAAGTCGCGGGTGATGGCCTTGCGCACTTGAGGATCTTTGGGCCATTCTTCCTCGGGCACCTCACAGCGCCAGCGGTCACCACCGGAGATAGTGAGCATGACGCCTGCTTGGGACCATTCGCCAAACTAGAATTCTCGAATTAGCACTGCAGAAGCTAGCATGAGCTTGAACCATACCAGCGAAGACCGTGTTGCTAGCCATAAGAATCCCTTGGAGCGTAGTAAAGGACCAAAAGTGGCATCCGCCATCTTGGAGGCCAGTCGTGCTTTAGGATCGAGCTGAGGCTGCTCTTCATCATCGACCTCCATGTCATCTTCCTCCTCTTCGTCACTGTTCTCGTCATTGTCAACTTCCATACCCTCGCCGTTCAGCTGGTACTCGGTCTGTATGACAACAAACACCGACTTGATCGTCTCCCACAGTCGCTCAGGATGGAACGGCCGCCTGGCGCGGTAGACGAATGTGCCAATGCCGTACTCCTCGGTCTCAGGGCTGATCTCTTCGGAGAGACTCTTCAACCACCCAGCACCTAGGGCTGCTTTCTCATATGAGAAGAGCCTCGTGTCTAAGATGTCCTTGAGGTTGAGACGAGACTTGACTGCTGTCACTGTCTTGGCGTCTGGGTTGAGCTTATTGATTACTCCCTTGATACGATTGACCTCTTCCTTTGACACCAGGTCACACTTGTTGACTATAATGACGTCGGCAAACTCAACCTGATCGACTTGGAGATCCGAGATGTTCCGGTCGTCTTCCTCGGGGACCGTGTCGCCCTGGCGGTCGACGAGAAAGTCTGCGGTGTTGAAATCCTGCATGAAGTTGACGGCGTCGACGAGCGTGACGCAGGTATCGAGGCGAGCGACACGAGACAGGCCACCGGATTTGAGAATCGCGGCCAAGCGCTTGTTGCTCTCAATGTCGCCTTCGGTTTCGGCTTCCAGATCGTGGCCTGCGGCTATGTGCATCTCCGCGAACCTGTGCGAACAACAATGTTAGATTATGGAGGGCTCGGAGACAGTAATATTGGGGAGGGCACGCACTCTTCCGAAAATGTCTCGGCGACTTGCATGGGCTCACTGACGCCAGAGCTCTCGATGACGAGATAGTCGACCTGCTTGTCGCCAGCGAGGCGAGCTACTTCCTCGAGCAGGTCACCTCGCAATGTACAGCAAATGCAGCCGTTTTGCATAGCGACGACCTGCTCCTCCTTTCGCGTAACATCGTGTGTGGAGAGAAGAGCTGCGTCGATGTTCAGGGCACCAACGTCGTTGACAATGACACCGATCCGCAGGCCGTGATCGGGTGAAGTCAAGATGTTTTCCAGAAGCGTGGTCTTACCGGCGCCGAGGAAACCGCTGAGGAGAGTCACAGGGAGACGCCTGTCAGCCCTGGTGACCGCCGTTGACGTCTCGGGGCTTGAAGCAGGGTCCTCGAGTAATCCAGGCGCCATGATTCCTGTTCTTTCTTATGACAAAAGAGAATCTCAATTTTAATGTTTGTGGGTTTACCAAATTGTATCAATGATTAAAGAGCCCTCTATTTCGGCGGACAGGATACCGAAGCATTTATACGTGCCAGGAGGGTTCTCGTATCTCATATCGACCCCTGCCTCCCTATTACTTAGGAAGTACATTTCGCACCATAAGTATCTTCTCATCATACTATTCTGCGAGTAACGCTCCTACCACCTTGCACGATGACAATGCACCATGCTTGTCCATACTGGGCCGTGTTAGTGAGACTCTAGACGACAGCGGCACCCGGATGGTCAAGACAAGCCTCGTTCGGCCGGGGTCTTGCCGGCACCCGGTGTTGCGCTAGGACTCTCCTGAGTAATTTCCGATTGTTGATTGGGTAGAAAAAGGTATATTCCTCCGCACCTCGCCAGATGTATTGTGGTCCCGGAACACCCTGATGGCCATCATTGATAAACACTGGTTTCTGATGGGCCAAGGAAGACTCGATGAAGACGTGCGGGAGCTAAAGCAGCGTGACGAGGAATAGTGGCCGAAAGGGTGCGACACTGAATGTCACTAGTCATTATCCAATGAATGTGCAAATGAATACTCTTCGTGGCATATAAGGGCACACAGATACAAGACATATTCCTACAAAGGTTGAGTTCGGTTTCCAGCTGAAGAGATCTTTAAGCACTCGAAACAGTGATGAAGCATGCGGCATTTCGTTACATCTTGTTACAAGAGTGAATCTCTGCACTCACGCTATCGTTCTCGCTATTTGTAGTCTATGTCACTCGATTTGAATGATCCGGATTTTTTGTTTTCCTTCTAATACCACGTTCTGTTTTACATCAGTTTCGTATGAAGGTGTTGCCTTATTGCATGATTTCAATGAAAGAGTAAAGCTTGATATGACCAGTATGTTACATTACGCCTCGGAACGTGCTCTTTTTGCGTCGACCAATCCACTCAGTTCCGTGGCTTTCCGGTATACTGACAGCCATTGAGCTCTGGTGAAGGGCGTCCCTCTCGCTTTCATAAAGCTTGTGAGTTTGGAGTCCAGATCTTTCAATACATCAGGTCAGCTGGTTGGACCCCATATGATGCAACGGAAATCTTACCTTGTAGCGACATCTTTTGTGCTGGCTGGAGCGAGTAGCGATCTGGCCCCTCGTGAACCAGAACCAAGTCCTTGGGAAGAGTCGTGCCTACCGAGTCCAGAGTCAGGGCCTGTTGCAATAACAAGACCGTGCAGATAGAGACGCTCACCTTCAGGAATAGCATAAACCATGAGATCGGCCCTCGCTCGCTTTACCAGCCAATGTTGCAACGGCGAGTTAGATTGCATGGCGGCACCGTTCGGGCCTTTAACCGTTAGTTTATGCATATTGAAGCTCGCTTGATCCATGACCCTACCTTTGTAGGTCGCCGCGTCGAGTGCCTTGGGCAAGACCCAGCCCTGGGGGGCGTTGATGTCGAAATTGCGACGGCCCCAGCGCCCGTTCCATTCCCGCAGTTGGATGTCGGGACCATAATTGATCCGGAAAAGCTCCTTGGGGAACTTCCTGAACGTCGCTATCAGGCCGGGCGGAGGATCCATGGTGGATGTGTGTCTCAGAGGCACGAGCAAGGCGTTCCCCGAGATGAAGTGTTGATGTTGTCGATGTTGTCGACACGCGTCATTTCGTTTGTCGAAGTCGTGTTTCTTTCGTTCTCGGGCGATAGGGCGCTGATTAGTCATGGTGGAGCTCGTTTCAGGGATCGCAAGGGGCGCTGAAGCCCCTGGCGTTTGCTTAATGCTACCCGCTAGAGTCAACTATCCGCTCCACTGATTGCCAGAAACACCACCGCCATGAGCATCACCAGAGCTACGATTTCACAGATGAACAGATAAACGAACAATATACTAGGTATCTACCACTGCAGCCCTAAACAGATCCCTTTCCCTTCAATTCTTATACTCGATGTTAAACGGCAACAGCTTGAGAGCATCATAATCCGCCGCATTCTCCCGGTCCCCAAAGATACGCAGCCCTCGCACCAGGAACGCATACCTCCCAGCCGGCAGGATCTTGCCCTCCTGCGTCATCCCCGTAAACGGCTTGACAAAGTACCGCCGCGGCACCCACTCCGCAGGGAACCCGCCGATGCTGCCCACGACCTCGACGCCGAGGACATCAGTCGTGGGCACGCCGGCCGGAGCGTCGAGCGCGACGATGTCGCACCTCAGCAACGACGTGCCGGCATCGAGCTGCATCACCGCCGCCGGCAGATTCGGTAGCGGGTTCATCCCCTCTGTGCCGGGAGGCAGCTCCGGAGACGTCGGGATCGGCAGCGTGAAGTTCGAGTCCGCTGGGATGGGATCGAGGTTCAAGTTGCTGTAGCGGAATGTAAACGTGCGCTCTGGGTCCAGCATCTTTGGCGCGGAGTACATGCTGCCCGCGACGCCGAGGTACGGCACCGCCAAGTTCTCGCCGTTGGTCCCGTTCAGCACGACGTACCCGCTGTACACCGGCAATCTCTTCTCGTCTAGTCCAGCGGGTGGCGTAGGCCGGATCGTGAGCTCGGCCGAACCTCCCGCCGGCACGGTGATCACGTCGGCCGAGAAGCTCAGCTTCGCCGCGGCACCCTCGGCGATCGGATTCGGGAACGGCGCCGGGTATAGCCTCTCGGTGTTGTACGTGTACATGGTCAAGGCCGGCACGTGTCCGACGGAGAACGTCACGGCCTTGCCGCCAGTGTTGCGCAGCGTGACGGTCGCGCTGCCGACGAGGTGCTCCGTGTCGTTGAACGAGACGCTCGACGGGCTCGGCACGGTGCGCGCGTTGGCCGCGTCCCAGGCCTGCACCAGCCCGGCGCCCTGCTGCGGCACGGGCGCCAGCCCGGCCCAGAGCTTGTCGTAGTCGATGAAGGGCTTTGCCTGTGCCGTCGACGACAGCAGGCTCATCAGCGTCTGCGGGTCCCTGATCCCGCGGTGCTGCATCAGCAGCGCCATGACGGCCGCCGTCTGGGGCGTGGCCATCGACGTCCCCGACGCGACGGCGAAGGCGCCCAGGTCCAAGGGGAAAGTGGACAGTACGTCTCCGCCGACGGCGGCGAAGTGCGGGTAGAGGCCGACCTCCCACGTCGGGCCCCAGCTGGAGAAGTAATTTACGAGGCCGCCGTCCCCCACGGTGTTGGGGTAGGAGACGGCGATCGGCCTGGCGTAGACGGGGTCGGTGATCTTGACGAGGATCGGGACGCCGGAGGTGAGGAGCTGGCGCCACTCCTTGCCCTGCTGGTAGGTCGTCATGCCCAGGCCCTTGAGGGTTGGGAGGTCGTCGATGACGGGGGAGAAGGCGCTGAGAGAAGGTGAGGAATTTGTTAGTCTCAGATGGATGCATTGGCAAAATGCCGGAGGCGAACTCACAAGCTATCTTGGTTGTAGTAGATCATGATGTACTCCGCCCCCTTGGCGACGAGGTTATTGGCAATAACCCAGTCGCTGCAGATGGCGTACTCGACGAGCACGATCTTGCCCTTCAGATCAGGCGTGTCGTCAGACAGCGGATTGCACGCGTTCCACGCCCCGTCCGTAGTATAATTCGGCGTGACAACCCACAGCGGCAGCGTCACGTTGGGGAACTTGGGCCGTCCCTCCATCCACCCGAACGACGTCTTGTTCCCGCAGCCCTCGCCGATCGCAGCCCTGCCCTCCACCAGGACGAGGGGGATCTCGATGTTCTCCACCGACGCGACCGCCGTCACGCCGCGCCCGTCGGCCGCCGTGCTGGCGTAGAACAGGCCCGCGCTCCCGCTGTTCCCCGCCGCGACGGTGCACGGCACGCCGGCGGCCACGATGCGCGAGACGGCCACGGCCCAGGGGTCCTCGGCCCACCCGGAGTTGCCACCGATGGAGCACGTGATGACGTCGCACCCGTCCTCGTACGCCCTGTTGAAGGCCGCGACCAGGACGTCCGTGGCCGTGTTGTCCACGCACCCAAACACCTTGTACATGCCGAGCTCGGCGCCGGGAGCCGCGCCCGAGAACCCGAGCTCGTTGCGCTCCCTCTGCGCGCCGATGATGCCCGCCACGTGCGTCCCGTGGCCCTGGCAGGTGTCCAAGGGGTCCGGGTCCGGTCGAGGGGTGTTGTACCCGTTGTAGTCGTCGCCCACGAGGTCGGTGCCGAAGGACACGGGGCAGCCCGGGCCGAAGCACCCGCCCAGCGCCGGGTGGCGGTAGTCGACGCCCGTGTCGATGATGCCGATGCGGATGCCCTTGCCGGTGACGCCCGCGGCGAGGAGCTTGTCGACCTGGGTCTGGACGTGGGTGGACAAGGTGCCGTTCTGGCCTGGCGCTCTGCGGGCTAGACTGGGTGCGGGTGGGACGGTGCTGTTGTTGTGGCCGAACCCGGCGGGTCTGATCTTGGAGTCCGGGAGAGGGACGATGCGGACGGGCCATACCTTCTTGACGACTGGGATGCTGGCGATCCTACTGGTGGTCTTGACTGGATCTACGTCTATGCCCTTGTCTAGCTGGAAGGATGAGCCCTTGAAGAGCGAGTATGACAGAGTCATCCGCTTGGAGGCCGGCAGACCTTTGCTCTGGAGGTCACTGTAGAACGACGACTCGTCGTTCTGAGATGATCTGTTAGCATTTTATTACACAATTCGGGAGTAATCATAGGAGCGCTGACTTGACCATTGTTGAACTCGACAATATAGGCACCTGGAACGATGTCTGTCTTCTGGCCCGGATCATAGCCGATGGGGACCGCAGCAAGTGCGGAGCGTGCCAGAGCCAAGCTCAGCAGCGCCGAGCACCAACGGACCATCTCGACTTACAGGGCTGGCCAGGGAAGCAAAGGACCGGTAAGAACTGGTCCTCACCCAAACCAGAAGACAGAGAGCGCATCATCGTGGCTCGGCCTCACCATTAATACTACTCACAGCAGGTAAGCCCGATTTCCAGCAAGGCCGATTCCTCTGTACGTGCTACCACGGACTCTCGAGAGGGAAGGTTACCTTCTATCTTTGATGCGACAGTGACCTGCTAGCTCGAGGCACAGAGTCGTGATAGGGAAGATTGTGGATCTGTCGGTGACATGTACAGGGGTCCAATCTGCGCTCGTCGTTACATTGTTCCTGAGGTCTTGGCAGTGCCTAGAGCCAGAATGGAAGTTGCTTTTGGTGATGCCCAGCACGCCACAGCCGCCTGCCAAGGGCAGCTAAGCTTTCATGGCTACGCATTCGCGTTTGTGGCTTTCAACATGAATGAATTTACAGTCTACAGAGGAACTTACAACGGGGTTCATCGAGTCACAACTGGATGATCACAGTCAATGGGGAGTAAGGCAAGTAAACTTGAATGGAGACCAATAGAGAACGAATCTGATCTCATTTAGACTTTAGAGAAATAAGAGCCATGATCCTTTAGAACGATGGCCAAGTCTCCATGCTTGTAGAACGTGGGAGTTATAAGAGAAGAGAAGTCGAGAATTGCGTCTGGGGTCTTTTCCATCGCGAAAGAAAGCCCTTGCCTCTCCCTCGTCTGTGCCTTCGTGGCGTGGCGCCGACGGCGGCAGCGACCGCTTAGACCAGATCCTTGGGCTGCTTGGCCTCGTAAATGTCGGTAACGTGGCCCTCTGTGGTGTTGCCCTCGGCCTCTCCGAGGTTGATGCGCTTCTCGACGGCGGCGGTGGTCTTCTCGTTGAGCGAGTTGTCCTCGAACACTGTGGCACCAAAGCAGTCAGTACGATGGTCATGCGTGCAAAAATGGTCATCAGAGAAGTCAGAGAAAGGAAACGTACAAAAGGCAAGCTCCTCGAGGGTGCGGTTGTACGTCTCGGGGTAGATGGTGTAGACGATGCAGAACTCAAAGAAGATCCAGCCGCAGTAGATGGCCAGGTAGCGCCACTTGATGGCGTCGAGGGCGATCGAGTTGACGTTGGTCGAGAAGAAGCCGGCGAGCTTGCCAAAGATCTGCTGGGTGCCGATGCCGCGCGAGCGCATGGCGTAGGGCCAGATCTCGATGAGGTAGGTGTAGGTCAGGGCGTTGTTGCCGATGTTGTAGGTCGGCGAGTAGGCAAAGTACCAGAACAGGGCCGAGATGCCCGCGGCCTTGTTCTTGACGCCGGCGTCCTCGGCGGCCTGCAGGCGCTCAAGGGAGACGGTCATGGCGATGAAGACGGTGCACATGAGCAGGGCCGAGGTCATGAACATGCGGCGGCGGGGGAAGCGCGTGATGATGAGCGCGGCGGTGGTGGCGGTCAGGAAGCTCCAGCAGGCGTTGGCGAGGTTGATCCGCGTCTTGGCGTACGTGGTCGTGTAGCCCATCATGCTGAAGAGGACGCTCGAGTAGTAGCTCAGCAGGGTGTTGCCGGACAGCTGGGTGAAGAGGCCGATGAAGGCGGTGATGAGGACGCGGCGGCGCATGGCTGCTGTCCTGATGAGGTCCAGCCAGGACTGCTTGGACAGCTCCATCTCAACGCGGATGGTCTCGCGGATCTGGGCAATCTCGGCCTGGACCATAAGCGAGTTGGGGTCGCCCTCGGCGTGATACTTGACCAAGATGGCGGCGGCCTCCTCCTCACGGTCCTTGGAGACCAGGAAACGAGGCGATTCCGGCAGAAGGCTGTAGGGGGAGTAGTTGGTTAGACTTGATCTCATCTCCTTGCTCGCTTGCACCGAGGCCTTGAAAGGGCGTGTGAGGAGAGCGCGGCATCAAGATACTTACAAGACGGTGCAAATCTGCAACAATGAAGGGCAGATCTGAAGAAGCGAAGGCAGACGCCATGCCCAGTCAGATTTTATGTCGGTGGTGCCCAGGGCAATAGCCGAAGCCAGGATCTGCCCAATAAAGTAGGACGAGTTGAACATGGAGGTCAGGACGGCACGCTCCTTGGGGTAGCCCAGCTCTCCGATGAGGGCGGAACCCGAGATGATGCAGAACAGAATACCCATACCCAGGATCATGCGGGCAACGATGTACATGCCGACTGTGGAAGACGCGTTAGAGGGAAAGAAGTAAAGGAAATAGTTCACGCGGCTTGGAGAAGACTTACCATGCTGGGCAAAGCCTTGGAGGAGGGCACCGACGACCATGATCAGGGATCCAAGCATGATGGACCACCTGCGGCCGTACTTCTCAGCGAACCAAGGGGCGATGGGGATAGCGAAGATGGAACCGAGCTGGTAGCACGAGTTGACGAAGCCAAGTAGGCCAGGCTCAACGGCATATTCGTCCTTGGCATTCTTGCGACCGCCACCCATATCTAAGCGTGCGGTTTACATATTAGAAGAAGACACCAGCAGACAGGCAGTGAGCGCATTTGTGATTTGACGTCCCGACCCCGAGTATGGGAATATGGGAGGCACATCAAAAGATGGGGCAGACATCAAGGCTTGGCTTACACTTGTGGAAGGGTTGGGCGAACTGCAGCGTGTTGATGAGCTGCGAGTCGAAACCCGAGGTCATCTCGACGCCCATGCAGCACAGGAAGAGCCACACGTACATGATGCGCATGTTGCGCTTCTTGTACCATGGCACCTTGTCCTCCTCGACGAGGCGAGTGACGATGGGGTCGGCGGTGTGTCCGACGTTGACCATGATGGGCAAACTTTTGGTCTGCGACCGGCTAACAAATAAATTGGTTCGTTGTCGAAGAGGGAGAAGAAGAGATCTCCGGTCGTGCGGGCTCCGGCTACCGTTTCTCACTCAGACCTGGACCGCAAGACGCCCGCTATCAAAGCGAAGTGCGGAGAGTGAGAGTCTTGAACTGCAGGGTTGGCAAGACAAAGGGAGACGGTACAAGGGCAATACGAGGGACAGACGCGGAGAGCAGCGGCGCGGGGGGTTATGTATCGAGCGAGTCGGTAGGAAAAGGATCCGCTCATGATCTCCGTCCCGTGTCTCCTACCCCATTTGGGGATGCAAGCCCGTGGGGATCGAATGTGAAGTGTGGAAGTAAGCCCGGCCCGGACGCCAGACCCCCCCCCCTTTTTTTGGTCTGGGGATCGTCGGTCTGGCTGCTTGGGATTGAACACCACTGTGACAACAGAAATGCCTGACGGACCACCACCACACCACAGGATAGTCTGCTCGCCAAGACTTCGCTTCTCCTCCACTATTCCAGACCTGTTACCCCAACTGCCAAGCCGACCTCGAGGTGTGTCGGCCCGTACGCAGGCCGTCCCAGGTCGTTGGAGCTTCGCCGCATGCGTGCTTGATTTATCCGCGGCATGGGCAGTACACCCGCACGATTCCTTCACTGCAACGTATATTTTGCTTTCCGGTGGGATGGTAGGGAGGCTTTGCGTGCACAGGACTGGCCAATTGGCCCGACACGGGGGATCCCAGTTGTTGTCAATGCCCTTTCATGCCGGGTAAAGGCGCGCCAAGCCTTCTGGCGAGAGCAGGGCCAGCAGGTTGATCAATCAGATCGAATGTGCGCCAGGCTGACACCCACTTCCCAGATGGCCCAATGGCACTGTGTGCGCACAATGGGCTGCTCGGTCTGTAATAGGAGCGCATGCATGGTTATTGGGTCCGTGCCGTGTGTGTGTGATCGAAGCATCCTCTCCCCCTTGGCTTCCAGAATGCGCCTAGGGCGAGATTGACGGCGGCAGGCGCTGGGTACCAAGTCTCCCAAGCCAGACGGCTCAGGGCGCTACTCGCGACAAGATCAAAGAAGCATCAGCCAGCGAGAGCACGGCCTTTTCCGTGGCTCGCTGTGCCTCGCTGTGCCTCTCGGTACTCCGGACTTTGCCCTGTTCGCTTTGGTCTGGGCCGAATGGAGCAAAGAACCGGCAGTTGCTTGGCATCGCCGGCGTCGAGACTAACTCAGGAGTATTTCCACGAATGAATTAGATCTCTTTCTTTTCCACGGATACGGGGTGCAGAGATTCACTCCGACGAGTCAGCCCAAAACTCCGCATTGTTGGTGTGGCCAGCGCTGGTCGCATCGTAAAGCCAGTTTCCCCAGTGTGGGAGTGTGGGGGACGTGGAGTGCCGGACCGGCCAACCGAAGACCGGGCCATGAAGGATTCGCTGGCATTTCGGCAACAAGGTCGGCAGAGCGCTGGGATTGGCCGAGGCGCTCTTTTCACGACGACCTAAACCAACGGCTCGAACGTTTTAACCTTCTTGACCTCGTGCCAACCCTACAGATCCAACCAAACCATTACCCCGATCCATCCCATCCCATCCCATCGCATTTGCGCTCGCATCCCTGACCCAGCCCATCCTCACACCCTAGCGAGATGGCGAACTGTCGGTTTCTTTTTTGAGACCCGATCGGGGGACTGTATAATTTCGATCCGGGGACGGTTTTTTTTACACCGCCTTCCTTTTTGGTCATGCGCGTCAGGTCCCACCCCCACCAAATTTAGCAGGCCAAAAGAACAACACAATACATGAGAGTAGAACACACAATACAATATTGTAATTACAAAAATAAAGCTATTTAAAGTCTACTAGCGGCCTAATTTATTGATTTCTATAGAGTTTTTTAAATAGATGCTTTTTAATAGCTAGAAGGGGTTATTCTAACCTTTAGATAAGCCTTATTAATAAGGTATCTAACTATAATAGTAACTAGCTCTTATTTAAGAACTTTAGTCTTATTATCTAGCTCTCTAAGACTTTAGGTAAAGCTATAGTTAAATTAAAGTTATTTCTATCTATAGAGATCTTAATAGTTAACTTAACTTTAATAGTTTAAATCTCTATCTTATCTTTAGTTATTATAATTTAGTCTAGTATTATAGCTAATAGAGCTTAGTCTTATAGCCTTTAAATAGGCTGCTATATAAGTCTTACTCTCTTTATTATCTTCTATTAGAAGGGATTATATCTAAGGCTTTAAGAAGTTAATTAAGCTATAGATCTTAATATTAAGATTATTAATAGAGGGCTACTATCTTAAGATCTACTCTTAAGAGTCCTAACTTAATAAGGCTTAATAATTAATAGTTATTAATTATTATTATTAAGGCTTCTCTTAAGCTATTAATAAGGATAGTAGTTACTTTTAGTAATAGCCTTATCTATCTTAAGCTTCTCTAGAATTATATAGCTATAGAGTAGGCTAAATTAATAGAAGAATTAATCTTAATAAGGCTCTAAATTAATCTCTTTAACTAAAGAGCCTTTAGCTAAGTATTTTTAATAGTTTATAAGATTAATAGCTTTATAAGAAAGCTTATATATTATTATATCTAGCTAGTATTTATCTAAGAATTCTTAATAGCTCTTAAGCTTTTAGTCTTTAACTTATTACTTAAACTTTATCTCTTTAATTATTATTATTATCTTAATTATCTTTACTATATTAAAGAGATTACTAAAGCTCTTATAGAGATAGCTTTTAAGAGTATAATAAGCTGATTTAATAAATAAGATTATAATCTAGCTAAAGTTAGAATAGATTTAAATCTAAGTCTCTATCTAATCTTATTTTACTAATAGATACTATTTCTTAAGATATCTAATAATTAGCTTTTAATTAATAAAATCATACTCTAGCTATATCTATATCTTATTAAAAGCTTTCTTAGAGTAGGAATAGATAAGTCTTATCTTGTGACGATCCTTGATCCCAAGAGGCAAGACTACTTCGTAGGATCGGAAGCGTGTGGGTTTATGTAAGCAGTAAGTGATGGGCGCTGCTGAGCAATGGTGGTTGACTTGATCGTAGCTAAGATAGC